AGGGCACCCTCTGATTGAAAAATATTTTGATCTCACGTGGACATTCTCATTTCATGAGGTGAAGAACGGGAAGGGCACGCCCTGAGTGGCTGACACAGGCTTTGTTCGGACCCTTTTTACGTGCTTTGGCACCCCTACGGGCAGGTGAGCCAGAATGAAAACCCGGGTAGATGAAGGTTAGTAAGGGGCAGTCCCAGCCAGAAATAGTTGCGGCCGCCTTCTTAATTCTTTACATGGTTCTGGGTCAACCATTTTAATGCCGGGTTTTGATTGCGACTCATGTGGCTTCCGATTCATGTGAGCAGACCAACATGAGTTACTTGTAGTCTGCTGTTAGTTTGGGGAGAAGGGGGGGGAACCCACGATTCCCACCAAATAAAGCTAAGGCCTTCCTTAGTCCCCCACAAATCAAGGGATTCACGCCGTTTTTGTCCTTGGCAAAATCGAATCCACTGGATGCAATCTTTGGACTTGCTGACTCTGTTGCTGTTTGGTGTATCCGATATCGCCTTGTAAACTTTCTTAGCATGACCTGCTTTCCAACTATAACCAGCAAACAAACATAACTGCTTGCCGTTTGCAGCGGGAACCAAAGACCAAGTCAGACCTAAGATTGGGAGCCGTACTGCTTGCTTTCTTGTGTTCATGTACATGATTGTACATGTATCGAAGCGGGGGCGTACCATCAAAACAAGGTCCATTCCCACCATACATGTTCCCTCAGGGGAAGTACTGTATGCAGATCCAGGTGTTTCAACTTGTTGGGGATATGATCCCAAAAGGCGATCACCTTGGGAGGTTGAGTTTGGTCAGGTTCAAAGGATCTTCTTGGAGCTCGCCCTCTAAGTTTCATTTTGTTTGGTTGCCGATCTAAACGTGGAATCAACCCCAGACAGAGTTCCCTTCTTTCTGCCGATCGCTTCACTGATGTCAACTGGAAGGATGAGGACCAAGAGCCTGCCGATGATGGTGCCAGTGAGGGCAGCTCTCACGTCTCAGACTACAAGGCGGGATGAAAGCAGCCGAGCATTTGCGCACCCAGAAATCCTCGACCGGGAAACACTCAATTTTGGCAATTGATAATTTTTAGATGGTGGTTCTAGTAACATGGTTAGTTGGAATCCTAGTAAAGACTCAATAAACCGTTTTAGTAGGTAGGCCAAACTTGTCCAAGAAAGGTAGCAAAAGGACTGAAATCAGCAGCCTTCCGCTCATTGCGGCATGTTATTTTGGGGCAGCTTTGCGTGGACGGTCCTCGCCTCGAGCTGAAGTGACAGCGGGAGAGAAGGTTAACATCCCCGGTTTCTCGATTTGGCTGTGGATCAAAACCAGTGGGATCCCGTTTTGGGGTGCACCACCCATTTTAGTCTATTTTAGTGGAGATTGGGATGTTCACTGGGGGTACAGGAGTTTTACCCATGGCCATTTGCCTGGAGGGACGGGTTGCAATAGAATCTCCAGGCAGCTGGGTTGACTATGGCCAAACCACGCAAAACGTAATGCTTAACTTCCTCGACATGTTCTTGCATGCCAGGAAGAAAATAACTATCAGTTTTGATTCATTTCGGAAAGATACTAAGGACGACCACCTATATTGGTAGTCACACCCAATTTCTCCCTGATATGGCTTACTTGTTCAGGGCTCCTTAAAAGATACGTTTTGCCCATTTGAAACATGGCTTTTTCCACCAAAATAAGGGGAAACAACCATTTAAAAGGCAATGTTCAGGTGTATGATGTAAGGATCCCTGTTGTTCTCACACTCAGGTTGGACTAGAGTCGGGCATCATGTTACTTCATGGCGCATGTTTGCCTTCGAAAGGATGGCGATGGACAATGCTCAGATTCCATGTCTTGAAATGAAGGGATGCCAAGCTTTAACCCAACCCTAAGGGGGGAAGCCCCCGTAAAAAATGGAACCACTCTCAAATGTCACCAGCAGGCAGAAAATCCTTTGATAAGAACTGTCTAAACCAGGAACCTCCCCCTTTCCTTCAGGTTTCATGCTATAGTTCCATGTTGCTGGGTGAATAGGGAAGCAGCATGATTGTTAGCTTCCCACGAGCTCCAACACGGGGGGAAGCCGTGTCTTTACACGGGACTCCTTAAAAGATATGTTTTGCCCATTTGAAACATGGCTTTTTCCAGCAAAATAAAGGGAAACCACCATTGACAAGGCAATGTTCCCGTGTATAATGTAAGGATCCCTTGCCGGTTTTTCACAGGTGGACCCCGAGCATCCCAAGATCGTGCCTTTCGGCCTGTCGCTGTCTGCACCTCGTCCAAAAGACACGCCTGAGCCCATGGGCCCGAAACAACTCGGGTGATAAAGATAAAATGGGGGGAAGCCCCCAAATGATGTTGGTTTCCATAATTGAACTCCCTTTTACAAGCACCAAACACGAGATTATAGTACCAAATAGGGAATGTGTCGTTTTTTGGGGACGCCCCTGGCGATTAAAAGGAAGCAAAAATGAAGCCAACCATGGGGTCCTTCACCTTGGAGACACTGAGTTGGCTTCTTTGGTCAAGGACAAGTGCGCCAACGCTGGGAATCGCAGGAGTCTTGGGTCCATTTGAGAAAACAGGTCGAGACTCACTAAACTTCCCCCACAATCCCGGGGACTCAGGAGTTGTCAATGTCATCTTGTGGAAAAGTGATTTTGACTGTGGCTGAATCACTTTGCGATCACACGTCCTGGGAATGCCGCTAAGCATAGTATGAACCTGTCATCTCTTTTTTAGGGAAGCATGACCACCCCCCGTACCAAGAGTGTTGACCCTATTGTTGCCCCCGGATGAATCAACCGGGCACCTTCACAGGCGATGTTCTTCCACAAAACAGTGGAGGATGTCCTCTAAAGCGGGATGCCTCCGCATCAATTAACCACGGGTGTATTAATTGATCCGTGAGAATCGACCAGGAATTATTTTCAGTCAACTCCATCAACCCGACCAATGGGAAGTTCTTGAAGACGCCCGCTTCAGGCAGGTGCTCCTTTCCAAAGTGAAGAGCCCTTCAGGGGTACAGTGCCGATCGCACTGAGGAGGCTTACGTGCTGATTCGCGGCCTGCTGATTGGCATGACTGCTCGTCGGCAGGCTTGCGAGTGCTTGCTTGCGCATTCAAGCACTGTGAAGTCTGCGGTCCGGATTTAGGACTGCATGTGTGTATGTGGCCATGGGTCAAAAGCCCGTACCCCCAGTGAACATCCCAATCCCCACTCACATAGACTAAAATGGGTGGTGAATTCACCGACCCCAAAACGGGATCCCATTGGTTTTGACAACCACAGCCATGTATGGTTTTGTGTCTTAAGCCTATTTTGATGTGTGTTTTGAGCTTTGGGACCCAAGACCAACCGCGCAAATGATTTATTTAGGGGTCCCCTCATTGTGTGACAAATGCACACAAATCCATGCTCATGCACGTACGTACAGGCATGAATGCATGATTATCATTACAAGAAGTAGGTGTGCATTCGATTTTTGCTGCCCTAACAGTTTAATGAAATTGCTGCTCGGGCTCAAGTCATATTTGAAGCGCTCTTTGTACAGAGATCAAGGTTCATCGATGTGTAGAAAGCAAAGCGGACCTTTGGGGCAGTAACATAGTGTTGTGTGCGTGTATATATATACATAATGTACACGTGTTTGCATAAACCTATATATATATATATGCACCCCCGGATGGACCTACCTTTTTGCCGTTTGAAGGAGATGGAATGCAGTTGCTTTATTTGGAATGGTCCATGCGACTTGACCAGCATCAGCTCACCCAAAGCAAGAAAGTCCTCTGTAAAATCTCAGTTGGAATAACAGTTCCACTTATTTGTTGTTCTTTGAACAGGAAATCGTATTTGATTTTGTTTTAGCATTAGAAGCTCGACTAGAATTGCTTCCGTATTAGATTCCAGTTAATTCTAAATAGGCAGTGGAAAAGCAATATCTTTGAAAGGACGTTCTGTTGGAAGTAAAAAAAAACAATTAAAATTAACAATGTTCTTCAAAATGGAAATCCTATTCAAATCATCCCCAAGTTAGAAAAACATGTGCAAGGTGATGTTCACTTGTTGTTTATATTTAAGTTATGATTAGAACAATTGAACAAATAAATGGCCCAGAAGATCCATGGATTTAGATACCAGTGAATTCTGAAGGAAGGTAGATCCTTGGGGGGGGCATATACCTGGATATATACATATACATACTTGTCATTTATCTATTTAACTTTTTTTACTTGTTTTCCCAACAGCTGACTGAAAGCTTTGGGGTCTCAGCCCAGATAGGCTCCGGAGTGGTCCGGGGCGGCTCTGAGGTAAGGTTCCACGAGGGTTCCACCAGGGTTCCACGAGAGTTCCACGAGGTTCTGCGAGGGCTGCGGGGTGGTGCGAGCACTAAAAAAAGCACCGCATGCTGATGGGGATATCACTTGAGTTGTTGTTTTATTAATTTATTCACTTATTGATTTATATATTTATTTATTTATCCATTTATTCATTTATATACATGTATATGTACACACATACATATTTGTGGTTTACACATGCGTGTGTTTATCTATTGCTATGCGTGGGTGTGTGTGTGTGTACGTTTATTGGCACGTATGTGTTTTTGCATACGTGGGTATGCATATATACATATATCATATACGTATACCTGGAGTCTCCCTGACTATTTAAAAATGGGTCCATGACCCTCATTATTTTGGGTAAAGACCATTTTTAAAGGGTCATGGAGACTGAAGGTACATCTCTACACCTAGCGACCATTTGGGTGACTCGCTGATAAAGGTGGCGTCGTTGTGCTTTCTCTGCGCAGGATTGGAGCGGCAGTGTGGTGGGCCAGCGGTTGACCAGGCACTACCGAGACGGCGCGGAGCCAAGATATCCACCGGGAGGAGAAACATGGTGACGAATCTATCACTACCAAAATAAGTGTGTTTTTTTCTTCCAGGAGACTTAAGCAAATGGATGTTTGAGGTTGACTAATGGTCCAGGATCTGAAAGTCATAGTTATTCTAGGGGTTGTTTCCTTGTCCATTCTTTTCAACCATAGTTCTTTTCAAAAAGCAGCTGTTTTCCAGGGATTTTGGTGGTTTTTTAGAAAGACTAAGAGCGAATGTTCACATAGGTATAGAAATTATCATATGATAGGGAATTTCAAGAGAATTGTCATGAGATGCAAATTCTTACTAATATGGTGACTAAATGCAACAACCAACTATGAGTTTTCATAGAGAACCTCTCCACAATGGTTGTTGGACCAAGTTCCCCACCTAGATGATGCCCAGCAAAGGGCCACTAATTAAGACTCGCTCCCGTACAACGACAAATACAATGACCGATTCCAATGGGACCCTAAAAGTTTGAACACAAATGAGGCCCTGAATGGGTATGAGGACTGATGATGGCTCTGAATCATTATATGGCCCATCCCCTTAGTTACTGGTGACTAGGTGCTATGTCGGATCGCCCCAGTTGATGAACAGCCTGGCTGAGGCGATCCGGATGAAAAGCTTGGGAGGAAGCCCAATCAAAGGTCAGCAAAGTTTTGATTCACCAGGTTAACATCCGGGTGCCAACCGATAGAAGCAGCCGGCGAGGTTTGGGCACCTTTCACACTCAAATGGATTTCGTGACGGTCTTCCATCAACTAACACGGGTTACCTGACTCGTGTCCTGAAATCCTGAAAGACCATATTTCCAAAAGAAGTCCTTTGGCCGGTTCCATGTTAGTGAACTGCAGGGTATACGTCTGCCATGGCATCTGCCCTATGGCCAGCTCACCTGGAAGCTAGTTGGAGCTTTGGAGAGCCCTTCGATTTGACAGCAGCAATTCTCGCGTGTGTGTGCTGGGGCCACTTTCGTGCTTCGCCGATAGATGGCTCTCACAAACTTTGAGGCGTTCCTGTGTTGTCCTTTCAAATGCCATCCACAAAAGGGGCCGCCTGTCTCTTCTGGCCGGTTCCTGTCATCGCCTGGTTTCCGATTCCAAAAATCGTGTCCAAACCGTTTTCTGGAATCCATCTTTCCTCTCAAGCATATCCTCAGAAGGAACTGTAACGGCCCAAATCGTTGGAATGGGTCTGCGGGGAAAACAAAATCCATGGGGTAAAACAGAAACTGTTTGGCCTCTTAGATTGTTGCCTCCAGGGGTGGATTGGTGTCTCCGACTTCTGAGGCCACATGCTTTGCGGCGCGGTTCTCTGCGACCTTTACATGCGAGAGCAGTGCCTGTGCTGAAACATGCCGGAGCTTTCCAGGTTTCCGAGGTGCCATTTTGTTTTGTCTTGTTGGACATGGGGTTCCAAGACCATGGCTCCACTGTTTGACTACCCCACGATAGTTCCCAGCTTTGAAACAATGAGACACTTGGGGCGAACCCCGATATCTTGCAAGTGGACACCTAATGTTGGAACCTGATTAGGACCCCCCGCCCCCCAAGGTCGACAATCTTGGGGAAAACCGGATGCTAGGGGGATCCGCTGGGTCTCTCGGATTCATCCGCACCTGGCCAGTCCTCTCCGGTCCTTTTTGTGCTTGTCTTGCCAATAGGACTGCAATACTAGGTCCCCCAGTAGTGCCCTTTTACCTTTTTTCTTTGGGAGGATTTCCCCGTCTAAAATAGACTACAGAACAAATGGTACCCTCATTCTAACCTCTCTACTGGAGGACCTAGAATAGGAAAGCAAAAGGAAATTGCATTTTATGATTTTCCACGGCTGGAGAGACTTGATTAATCAGAGGGTGTTGTGTTGTTCGAGGCGGGCCTAGGCTTCAAGGGGGGGAGACCCTTTACGAGCTTGTCAAACCTTGTTTTGTAAGTAAATTAAGCAATACATTTGCTGTTTCCGGATAGCCTTTTTTTTCTTCTGGAATGGCAGCCCTTGAGACTATGAAAGGAGTTATTATTGGCAATAGCTTTGGGACCTTGATATTTATGCTGTAGTACTGTTTCTGAATTTTCGGCCGGGAAGGGGCGTCTTTAGTCAGAGGGGGTTCGGGAATGTGCTCCCAACAAAATGAGAGGATGTCTTTCGCCAAACCTTGCGGGCGCCTTTCAAGTCGTATTGGCTGGCAGTCGGCTGGGAAAACCGGGCGTCTTTGATCAGTCGGGGTTCACTCATCACGTTCTAACATCCTCAGTGGCTCTCCAGGAACCAAAGGAACCATCCATGTGTTCTGAGGTGCCCTGCCTCTCGAAGATGCAACTAAGGAAGGGTGGGGGGCAATTACTTTCTTCAGCTAGGTTTCCCAGTAGTGCCCTTCTCTCCCCTTTTTTGGGGGAGGGTTCCCCACTAAAATAGACGTCCAGAAAAAGTTGGTACCCTTATTGTAATGGACCTAGTCAGGAATGTTCATGGCAATGTGGCGTGTGGGGAACCTGGGCTGCCACTGCGGCCCGGAAGAGTCCTTGTGAGAGCCAGTGGATGGCAAAGCAGGTGTGTTCTGGGAATCGCTTTGGATGGGCTTGAAGCGGAAAGTCAAGCTTGGTTTGGGCTGCATAAAAAATGGTGCAGCGGAAACCATTGTTCTATCAAGAGTTTGATCGGGTGGGATGCTTTGCACGTGCTTAGGCTGGCCACCCAGGCGGAATGCGAGTTAGTGCCGCACTTGACATCCATGTTCCACCCTATTGGAGAAGCTGTTTGCTTGCAGAGGCTGGATTGTGTTTGAGTTCCGTGGATAAGGAAAACTAGGTCCCCCAACTTCTCTCCACTTTTTTTGGGGACGGGTTCCCCTATTACAATAGACGTCCAGAAAAAGTTGGTGCCCTTATTCTAAGCTCTCTATTGCGTGGTGATTAAGGAAAACAACACCCAAACTCCGCCGCTGGCCCGCAGTGGTTTCCTGTAAGGCTGTAAGGCTTTGCCTTTGAGCACGACGGATGGAACTCAGCGGAGCCGGTCGATAGCTTTGGGACTCCCCATTCAGCAGATCATTTTTGGAGAAACTCATTTTGGTGGGTCTTTTTGTTGGGTTCCATGTCAATTTCAAGCACAGTAGTCCATTGTTGGTTTGGGGAGGACATACCCTGTCAGCAACAATGGGTCGAATGCAATCTTTTTGTCGGGGAGGAGGTCCGAGATGTGGAAGCGAAAGGAAGCCAACTCTTTGCGGCTCATCCGTTCTCTCAGGATCGACGTGCATCACTGGACTCTCCAAGAGGGCAGCATTGCGGTCCCATATCAGCTCTCGCGCCGGAGAGGACCGCGAAGCCGGGAAACGAGCAGGTTGGTTTTTCGTGAAGTTGTTTCTTTACGAGGTTGGTACCATTTGGGGTTGTTTCAATGGCAAGCCAAAGGCGAGATCACATTTTTTTCTTTCAGAAAGGGACCCTGTGAGCGTTGGATTTTTTCCACACACCTAATTTTGCTGCATTCTGGCCAAAACCGAAAAAACTTGAGAAGTCGAGAAAAAAAAAGGTTCTGGGACAATGTGCTGGTATCATGCAAACAGTTCTCCACCTTACCCGCCCTCCTACAGATGTCAGGCTCCTGTCCAAAACCGGAACGAAAAAACAAAAAAACATCGAGAAATCGAAAGATTTTGTCCAAAACCAAAAGAATCCTCGAGAAATCGATAAAAACAATATTCTGGGACAATGTGCTGGTATCATGTAAACAGTCTGTTGGCCAGATTTTTGTTTTTCCCGATTTCTCGAGGGTTCTTTCGGTTTGGACAAAATCTTTCGATTTCTCGATGTCTTTTTGATTTTGGATCGTTTGATTGAATTATCGATGTTTTTTTTTGCCCCCCCGATTTTGGACACCTTCTTTTGATTTCTCGATGTTTCTTACTTATAAGGCAAGCCCGGCAGGAAGCAGCCAAGATAAGACAATCTGCAGCAAAAGCTTCAACACAGGACAGCTTTGCAAGGAAGAGGCCCATGAGCTTAGAAGGTTTTCAAACACCAAACAAGAAAATCAAAGGTGTGGCCAGCCCAACAACACAGCTTCAGGTGACAGCAAGCCCCCTTAGCTTCCAGCCAGCCTGCACCCAGCCCCAGCCCAGCTAGCTCAGAGAAGAAACAGTTCAGCGTAGACATTTTTTTAAAACACCAGAGCAGCAAGCCAAAGAGATAGAGCCTGTGCTAGCTAGCAAGGTAGTTCCATACCAGAGGCAGCAGCAGAGCAAGCTGCAGAAAGAAGCTGCTCAGCCTACCTCCAGAAGCTAGCAGAGCTGGAGAAAGAAGACCCAGAAGAAGGTGCAGCAAGACTGCAGTTTCAGAGAAGCAGGCAGACAAGGTGGCAGGCCTCCAGTTCTGGAAAAGCGTAGAGGAACTGCAGGTGGGCAGTTGGGCAACAGGAAGAAGGAGACAGCCTTCCAGGAAGCAAGAGTTTTTGCCTTTCAGAAGATGAAGCTAAGTGAAGAGATTCAGATGATTCTGGAAGTCTCAGCCTCGGAAGCAGAAGCTTGCGCAATTGCAAGGAGAAAGTTCAAAGCTTGCTGAAGAAGGAAGGTTTGGGCAGCAGTGGAGGCTCTTCTAAAGTAAGAGGAGAAGATTGCAGAAGAGGTTTGCCAGAGCAGCTGGTGGAGGGAGAAAGAGAGAGTTTAGCAAAGAGATCTCTCAACTTGGCGAGTGGTTGAAGAAAGAAAGGAGTTGCAGCCGCAACGTTTCAAAGAATGAGCTGCTGAAAGAGTTCTTTGCCCTTCTGGTTGCAAGGGCAGAGAGATGCATGGTCAGGGCAGAGCTTTGCAGAAATGAGATGCAAAGGAAAGCTTGGCTGAAAGAAGCTGACTGTGCCCTGAGCTCCAGCAGAGCTCAAAGTATGCAGCTTCTCATGTAGAGAAGCTGATCCAATGGCTAGGCGCAGCTTACTGAGCAAAGATCGGACTACTCACCTGGCACCAGTTGAAGAACAGGTGCGGGCCCAGCTCACCTTCCAGGATATTGACAGAAAGCTCTGGCATCTAGGTGCTGCTCCAGTTGCCCAGCTTGAAGATGCACATTTGGTTGCAGATGCAGAGATGACAGTTGAGCACCGATCCTATCTGGTAATCGGCATGAGTGATCAAGTCCCACTTTGGGCCAAAGCTCCAAGCAAGAAGTTGGTCTTCTCTGCAGATGAGGTCAATGGTGCCAGTTGGGACGACAGAAAGAGGTGGACTGAGATCAGGGAGGAGCTGAAAGCTGCTCAAGTTCAGGCAGCTGCAGAAGGTTACCAGCTTGTCAGTTGGGCAGATGTAGGAGCAGGGCCTCTCAAAGTTGCAGGTAATAAGGTGATGAAAGGACAAAGTTCAGATGACAAGTTTCGTACAACATACGAAGCTCGCCAGAAGATTTACAATATTGGAGCTCCAGCAGGAACAGCTCTGCAAGGCGACTACTGCGGCGCAAGATCGGCGTAGGTAGCCATCCACGATCTCCTTGAGATCCTCGTAGGTCATGTCTTCTGCTGCAAGTGCCATCTTAGCCCAGAGTGGAGGGTGGGACGACTCAGTGCAGGATGCATATGGATGAGATGCTTTCTAGCTGGCCAAAGTTGCAGCGCAGATCGCGGTCAGAGGATACATGCACACATAACTGCACACAACCCCAATTTGGAAAAACACTCGTTTCACATGGAAAATACCCACGCTGACGGGGCCCCCCTCTCTTTTTTTACACACTCATGTCAGATCTTCTGAGGGCTATTGCGCTGGTGAAGCTTTGGTTCGGATGCGAAGAGTGTTCAGCACTAAGCCGTGAGGTTGGAAGTCAGCCAGGACTGGGCGAGATGGATCATTACCTGGACCACTACGCGGCTCGGCCAAGCCATGAGCGGGGGGGGCGTGCATACCTTGAACCGTGCCCGCAGCCCAATCCAGGTGTCCCATGCTTTGGTCGGTTTTGATTGACATGTTTTTGTTTGCACGCAGCCATGTTGGACAACGCCAGTTTGCTGTGGATGGAAATTGAAGTCTGTTCAATCAGCCAGCCCCACATCATTATTCTTTGGTCAGCAAGTTGGACAAACAGGGGACATATCGCGCCGGACCCAGCGTGGACTCTGAAAATACCTGAAATGACAATGTTTCACGCTTCGTCGTGTTGTGATTCGGAACTGCCGGCGAATTGACGTGCCTGAGTGGTCGTCGGTAACTAGCGGCCAACATGCTGGCACCATACAGGTCCACATATTCCTCGGGAGGTACAAGGACCCCCTTTTGCATACCTCTCAATATCCATCCTCAAGCTCTTGCCCACATAACAAAATACAATTGAGACGTTTGTCGAAGCGAAGGATTGTCTATTTTCCAAGGTCAAGCATGTTCCTATAGCTATGTAGTGACGCGTTTGTTTGCCAAACATGGTGGTTTGCAATGCCCAATCGGCCCGTTTAGGGTGGACCGCCTCAAAAGAAATAGAAACTAGTGTCTCCATGTAGATTGAACGGAGGCTTCCGTGCAACACTAGCATCAAATGCCAGTGTATTTTCATGTTGATGGTTTAGCTCTTTTCCCTTTTATCCGGCAAGCTGGGGAACAACTATCAACGAATGTCCGCCTCTCCCTCTCGGTGTTCAAGAAGCCATTTCCATTTGCTGCACGAGGCCTGCCGGGTGCCTTTTTGACTTTTCTGGTGGGCCTTCGCAGAATTACGTTGCGAAGGGCCCCTTCCATTCCAACCAAACCATTTTCTGCAATGTCCTGAGATCTAAACCGGTAGATGCAGTTGCTCAGGTATGCTATCAGAGAAACCAACTAGCCGGGATACATGGGCAACCAGGAATACGGGAGGATTCCCCCCAAATGCACCTTGACTAAGCTTAATATGGGAAGCGGCGCCAAGGGAATCCCCCAGAATCCCTGCTCCCTCCGTTCGTTAGTCCAAATGCTAGCTGATCCCTTGCCCCTGGTCCGCGTTTTCGCTTGTTTGGGACTTTTGCCTCGCATGTTTGCGAGGCCCCATTTGCCGAAGCCATGTTCCGCGACATGCGGCTGCCGCAGTCCCTGTCTGAGGCGCCCATTTGGGCCTGGGGCTTAGTTTGGTTATTTCGCTGCCCTTGGCAATATTGGGCACTTGGCTTCTTGTCCCTTTAGTTTATGACCATGAGTCAATGAGTGGGGTGGCTGTGGAAAACAATGTTGATAGCGAACGTACCAGATGAGCTGCCTAGGGGGGCTCTAGCCGTGGGATTCTTCCTAACTGGGCCAGGGGACAACCCAGATATGTACCTCATAGTTGCGAACTGATGTGCCGGGTCCATGTCTGCTACGTTGCAATGGTGGCAATCTTGGCTACATAGCACATATTTTGCAACTTTGCGAACTGAGCCAAGCGAGGATGGGCAATCCTGTTTTCAGACCCATCCCATTTTGTTCGATCTGACTTATTTTCCGAAATCTGACCTTTGCCCAGGGTACACGATAGCCGGCTTGTTCCGCCGACTTCTGAAATTCTGAGTGGTGACATGTTCCTTTGATCAATGGTTGAAACATGTTGGATTTTGATTAGTGATACATGCTTGGTTTTGATGAAACGCGTTTGATGGCGCTGATGGTCGATGTATGTTTGAGTTTGAGCTGGCCTAGCCCTTTGAGCTGGCCCAGTGTCCTAGCCCTTTGAGCTGGCCCAGTGTGTTGCCAGCATAAATGGAAAGTGTGCTCATCTGCGTTTTGTACATGTGTACATTGAAGCACCCAAACTCCCCACCATATCACCCGCCCAGGGAGGACTCGAGCCCACAAGCCCCACCCAGCAGCGTCTCTGAAAGGTCCTTGTTCTGTTGGCCCACTTGAATTGGCCGCGGGCTGAACAACTCAGCGAGACCCAATGGGATGTTCGTACTCACTCGTCGGCTGCGGGTGCTTCCAAAAAATGATCCAACAGAAAGATGATGACTTTGTCTTTAACACATGCAGCGATTCATCCCAACACCTACATGCAGGAAACAGCTCTTTGATCGAAACAAAAAAACAAACACCCCACAAAACACAGCACGGTCAAAAACTCGATTGGAAACATCGGAATGGTGAGCCATATACTTAGGCAAGCTTCTTGCTGAGCGAACCATGGCTTGCTGTTTGCTCATTAATTAGCGCTGGCACACTGGCTATGGAAAAGCAAACGGTGCTGTTGGCGATTGGAGCCTGCTTTCCAAAAAGCCGCCGACTTCTGCCCAAGCTCCCCCTAATCCCTCACGGGAGGGGTGGACGCCGCCTCCCCCCTCCCGCAGTCACCCAAATTACTACATTGGGCGATACCTGGAAGAATGAGGACTCGCTCAATGTGATTGAGTTGATTCAAGGCATGGTCAATATGTGTGTATTTATCGTGTCCTCCAATAGCATCCGGTTTAGGATGATGGAAGTGAGGTTGTCCTCTTTTGTTTAGTCTTTGTTTTGGGAGGGTGTAGCCAATTCTCCTCATTTCACACTGGACGGAATCAGCAAATCCTGTCAGAACAGCTCACTAGCCGGCTGCGGAACAAAAGCGACGTATAAGGTTGCCTCCCATCTCCCATGCGTCACTTTTTGTGAAATGCTCTTTAGGTTTGTTGCCAACGGAACATCAGCCATTTTAGGTTTCCTCAGTTTGAGCTGTACCTGGAGTCGCCATGACCATCAAAAATGGGCCCATGACCCCATTATTTTGGGTTGTGACCAACCATTTTGAAAGGGTCAGAGGGAGACTCCAGGTGGTTTGAAGGGGGGGCGATGGGTTTTTGAGACGAAGCCATCGCTAAGGACAGCTTGGAGAGGAAGGGCCTCATCGACAATTACCGACCCTCTGGAGAGCGCAAGTGGGGGCTGGCACCTCAGTCGAGAGGATGAAGCCGTTTCAGTAGCTTTCACCTGAGCCACAATCGAAACCCGGGTAAGTGAAGGTTAGTAAGGGACAATCCCGGGTAGACCATTTTAGCGGATATCCGCCCTTTTCATTCTTTACATGATTCTGGGTAGACCATTTTAGTACCGGGTTTTGATTATGACTCACCTGGTCTTTGTTGTTTCGTGGGCTCCAGACTGAAAAGAGTAAACTTCAAGAGGGTTGCCTTTGTCTAGCAGTCACTCAACAGATGCGGGCCCTTTTCTGCCAGCTGCTTCGTCGTTTTGCCTCCGACCGCCCGCAACCAGATGGCCAAGAATAGCACGAATACAAGTTCTAGTTTCCACACAGCCCATTGGGCAATTGTGAAGCAGAGGGTGTTTGTTCAAAACGAACGCCCTGATATAATTATTCATGGGCGGGTCCTACGCAATGTTGACTTGGGAGTAATCCGGAGGACTATGCTGCAATGCTACTCCGAGGAATCGCCCAACCATAGATTTATCCCCAACTTCCACGGGGCCCGATTCATCCCAAGTTGACATTGACACGGCTCAGGCAGCAAATCTACCGTGCGCGCCGTTTCTGGGTAAGCCAGTACCTCATTTGGTACCTCATTTGGTAAGCCAGTACACGCGCCGTTACCTCATTTGGTACTGCCAGCACTGAAAGTAGTATTGCCAGTCCTTAATTTTAGTATCACAAGTACTTAGCTAAATTTAAGAACTCGTAATTGTATAATTCTCAAAAACGCGCGAGGTGGGGCGTACGGGGTGTTTTTGAAGCAACGAGCGCGTGCACGGACGAGTGGACGAGTAGACGGACGAGTGCACGGACGAGTGGACGGACGAGTGGGCGGATGGACGGACGGACGGACGGACGGACGGACGGACGGACGGACGGACGGACGGACGGACGGACGGACGGACGGACGGACGGACGGACGGACGGACGGACGCACACGCACGCACGCACGCGCGCACGCACGCACGCACGCACGCACGCGCGCACGCACCATTCCGTACAAGAAATAAGGGCAGAAATAAGACCATTTTATGGTCTTAAAAAAGGTCTTATTTCTGAACGGACGGGTGCGTGCGTGCGTGCGTGCGTGCGTGCGTGCGTGCGTGCGTGCGCGCGCGTCCGTGCGTGCGTCCGTCCGTGCGTCCGTCCAACCGCGCACTCGTCCGTCCACTCGTCCGTCTACTCGCGCGTGCGCTCGCACACTCGTACGTTCACCCGTTCGCTCGCCCGCACGTTTCCCTCGCGCGCCACTTGCCCAGGTTTTCTGGAATTTGCCGTTAACGACCTCTCGAATACAGCTAAACAAGTACTCATGTTACTATTGCCAATACTAATGGCCAGTGCTTGAGTTAGTATTGCTAGTACTGATTCTTGTATAGCCAGTACCCAATGTAGTATTGGCAGTGTTTAATTTATTGCCAATACAAATTTATGTATTGCCAGTACTACATTTAGTATTGCGCAGTCCTAAATGATTGGTATTGCCAGTATCCAATTAATATTGCCAGGCCAGTACTACATTTAGTATTGCCAGTACTAAATTGTGTATTGGCAGTACTAAAATGGGCAGTGTCAGTACTAAAGTCAGTATGTCCAATCAACAAATGAGTAGCGTTTTGTTGCTCCTCCATTACATATGTAAAGGCACGGACATTATTATTTGATATTCTTTGGAAATCTGCGCCGCGCCACAGTGGCGGAAGGCCGCGGAAGCTTCGCGGAAGGTTTTTTCCCGCGGAAGCTGGCGGAAGGGTGTGCGGATGTTTGTTTGTTTGCACTCGACCGACTGAGGCATGCGTGTAGAAAGACCAGTTAAGTAGATTGTGTGCCCTAGAAGTTTTGATGCCAGGCTGTTCTAGGAAGTGTTCTGTCCCTCTCACGACCAGCTTGGGGAGGTGGAGGCGCATGTAGAAGGTCAGAAGGTTCCGTCATGTGTGGTTGTATGAAAACCTCGCGCCTTTATATTATGTAAGGCTTCGTCCTAGACGAGGTACATGTGTGCAACGCTTGTCAAACGATAATGAAGAAAAAAACGATAACGTTTGTTTTTACTACTGCTACTACTACTACTACTACTACTCCTACTACTACTACTACTACTACTACTACTACTACTGCTACTAATACTAATACTACTACCGCTACTACTACTGCTGCTGCTGCTACTACTACTACTACTAATACTACTACTACTCCTGGTGACTCCGTGTGCCGCACAAAGGTGAACAGCGTCGAGATGGTCAGCCTGTTCCGCCGTGTGCTTGCCCCCACACGGCAGGACACAGAGCGGGTAGCACTCGTTGGTCGCGGTGGGAACAAGAAAATGGTTGTCGCGCAGCACTTGCGGAAGAAGTGCCACCGAGTCTTCCTTGACGAGCCCATGTCGTGGTCCACCTTCCTTTCCGTCATGAAGCGACAGGCGGACATTTGCGCGCACTGCAAGCATTTGGATCGTCACGTGCTCCCGCCTGCTCAGAGGGCCTTGACCAAGCACAGGCTTGAGATCGAAGAGGTGTTCCAGCAGTATTTCCAACCGTTCGACAGCAACCCTGCGACAATTCTGCTGTCCTCCTGCAGGTGGACTTCAAGGAGGACGCGAGATTCCCGCTCAGTCTCCCAGCTTGTCTTAGCAGTTTTGAACAACGAGTGTTGATTTCTCGGTCAAAGTAAGCTCAGTCTGTCATGTTGCACGTTGCATGTTTGCTATGTCCTCCCTGGCAAGGCACGCAAGGGACAGGAGACGAGTGGCACGCGCAAAGCAAACTGTCTCTCATTGTCTCTGGCGTCTTTGCGCGGGTGCCCACATGCACGGGAACGCACGTGGATGCGTACCTCCTTTTGGTCTCGGAAGTCGTAGACCATGACGCGCAGGCCGCCAACATTGTTGGTGAACGAGGCCCTTGCTCTTCTTCGGCGCTATCCTGACACACACTGGCCTGCAGTCAAAAAGTTCATCCTTGCCAGCGACGTCGGGCGGACTTTTTGTCGTACGAAAACGCTGCCCACTTCTTGTGCACTCTCGTGCCTTTGCTGCAAGCCCGCTGTTTCCCGATTTGCGCACGATCGTTGGCTTTGTTTCCTAGCTGCTTCCCCACGCCCACCTTTGCCAGGTGATACTTCTCAACGGGGAAGTCGAAGTGCTCTACCTGGCTGAGCATCATGGAAAGGGAGCTTGCGGTGGGCTCTTCGCTTGGACTCTCGTGTCGGTCTCCCGGCTCATCCAAAAGCACCCTATCTACAACCTGCGGGACCTCACGCAGTGCTACTGAGAAGGCGCAGCTTCGAGGACGACCCGACCACGCCAGCCATCCTTGACTCAAACTTCGACCCTCGTAGCTTCCCGTCCGCTGCCACGTTCAAAATTTCACGCACCCTCCTTTTTGTGGCCTACGCACCCTTCTTTTTGTTGCCTTGTCGCCACCTTGGACCGCCACGCCGCCCATGATGTGCACATTGTCAACCACGTTTTCACGAACTTGAGGCAGGGGTCGAGGGTCCTGCCCTGCCACCTGGGTGAGGTGGTGTCGGAGGAGAAGGTGGGGTGGAGAGAGGATACTATGTTAACGTCACCCGGCGCTTCGCTGCTCCAAAGGCCTTCCCTGCAGATAGACAGGTTGTTCAAAAACGAAGCTTTGAAGAGAAAATGTCAGCCAAGGCCAAGCAGCTCAGCAAGCAAGCTGCCAAGAAGGAGCAGCAGCTCGCGCCCTCAAACGTCGACTTCGTCCTGCCGAGGCTGAAGACGCGTCCTCTTCTGCAAGTAGCAGCAGCAGCAGCAGCAGCTCCTCAACCTCTTCGGAGAAAGCCTAAGCGCTTGCCATTGCACGGCTGCGCTAGGTAGAAAAAAGCAGTGGCGCACGCTTGCCAGTCGTCAGCAAAACCAAGCAACCGGCAATGCAGGCAAGCAGGCAGGCAAGCAAGCAAGAGCCAACAAGAAAGCGCGCGCAAAAAAGATAGAGAAAGCACACAAACAAACAAGCAAACAAACAAACAAACAGCCAAGCAAGCAAGCAAGCAGTCGAAAACTATGCCAAAGCTGTGGCCGCGGAAGCGAAATACCTCTTAGTGTTGTAGACACATGTCCGCGGAAGCTCGCGGAAACGATTTTCTATCAAAACGCTTCGCGGAAGCTACCCCTGCCAACTAGAAGGGAGTAAAAAACCCTACTCAAATAGTTTGGGCAGTACTAAATTTAAGAATTGCCGAGGCTAAATCTAAGGTTGTGTACTGCGAATACTTAGCCTAGTAGCTGCCAGCATTGCTCGTACTAAATCGTGATTGCCAGCACTAAACTTAGAGCTGCCATCAGTTGGTTTAGTATTCCCAGACTTGAATTTAGTATTGCATGTAGTTAATGTAGTGTTGTCAGTACTTAGTACTAAGCTTTGTGCTAGCAGCATGAACCTTTGTATTGCAATACTAAGTTTAGTATTGCCGAAACTAAGACTAAAATGAAGAAGAGCAAGACAGAAGAACGAAGCAAAAGAAGAGGAAGACAAAGAAGCAGAGGCAAAACATATGGAGAAGACGAAGAAGAGCTAAGTGTCAGCCAAGGTTCATTTCAACAATCATCTTTGCTCGGGATGCTCCAAGAATTCGATTGATGATTCCCCTTCTTTGGTTGGCGGCAACTTTCATGTGTCGCTACGATGCTTCATTGGACTGCCCGTTTCCGGGTATTGTGCTACTTCTGGAACCCATCCGAGCGGCTGCACTGACAAGCCTTGCAGCTTTGCCAAGGTTTAGCCAGCGTCATGTGGATGCTGGGAGCCGCAGTGGTGACCCGCAGTGGAGTTGATGATAGTCCTGTTGAGCATTGCCCAAAACCTCCGATGGCCGTTGTGCTAGATAGTTTTGTGCTACCAGGAAGGCCTATACAACCTTTTGTAACTAGTAAGGTGGAACGAAGAGTCAATAGATGTTCGGTACTCGGTTCTTCACTTGCTGCCATGTTTTGTGGCCAGTCATTTCAGGTGGACCCCTGACTGAGGTTGGTTCGGGGGTGCAACACGGTGCAGCGGGATCACTGAGATGGTCAATATCCCCACAGCGATCGGATGGCTTCTCACTCCGAGGTATTGATCCGACCCGAGCAACTCGTGAAAATGCCACAACAAGTTGCAATATTCCAGCTGGAGATGCCAAAACGTGTGTCGCGTCCTACACTTGCACTAAAGGGTCGCGATTTCGGGTTTGAAGGTACAGAAAACGCCAGACACCCGTAAACCGATGAGGAGTTCAAGGCCCAAAAACACACACAGAGGTGTCCACTGAGTAGATGCATTTTGATGATCCAAAGGCTTGGGGCCTTGCGTCTGGCAAGCCTTGTAGGGGCCCCCGGAATCTTGATGCTGGATTCTCCAATGAACAAGAGACCCCTTCAGAATGAAGTCTTGTCCCTTCGGTTTCCTTAAGGGAAACAACGTAAAAAGAGCACACCGTTACACCATCAAAGAGGGTGACAAACCCAATCTCTTGTTCAGTTCCTGCTTTGTTCTTGCTTTCCCTCCGGCGTTGTTCTTTTTTGAGCCCCTAAGCTCATGGGCCTGATATTGCTGCAAAAAAAAATGTGGCAAACAGGTAGTCACTGCAGCTGTGTATTGCTAGGCTCAGGAAGGCGGTTGTAACACCCACCCATCCGCAAAGAGGGAAACTCAGAAAGAAGAAGGCTCACAGGGCGCTGCCGAGGTGTGGGACTTCGCCCGCCGCGACCTGCTCCTGGATATTCGAGAAGGCGGGCCCACCTGGGTGTGTCTGTGTGTGCGTTTGCGTTTTTGAAGGTATGGGGGTTCAAAGGGAACCCGCAAGGCAAACGCGCCATTTGGGGGGCGGGGTTGCCTTATTTTCACACCGCTCGTCTGGGAGTCACTGGGCCCAAGGAAGGGCTGCGGGAAGTGCAGTTGGGCAAAGGATGCGCTACGCCAAGTTCTCAGCTTCGAATCCCGTCCTTTCTGGGGATGGGCGCAGATTGCGCGACAGCAGCACTTTGGCAAGCTTGGAGCGACGCGCTCGATGTGTCACGTGCGGATTTCTTGACAGGCGCAACAATTTTGCAAGGTCAGGTGCTGAGAGAACGCGAAAGTGACGAGTGAGAGAGAGAGAGAGAGAGGAGGCGAGACACAGACAGAGAGAGAGAGAGGAGGCGAGACACAGACAGAGAGAGAGAGAGGAGGCGAGACACAGACAGAGAGAGAGAGAGAGCTAAGAGAAAGAAGATAGAGACAGAGGAGGAAGAAAAAGAAAGAAAAGAAAAAGAGCAGGGGATAAAGACAACCATAGTAACTTTCATATTTTTGAAGCTTCTTCGCATCGACTTTGCCGCCAGCTTTACTGGTATGCGCTCTCACAATCTGTTGGACTCTCCAAATAGTCTGCCTTGCCAAAAATCAGTACAAGTAGGCTGCCCTTGTAAACCTTGTCCCAAAATCACCATTTGAGAAGCTGCTTGTTTTTCCTACAAACACACCCCAGCTAGATTCCCAAATCCCCAACGTTGAGAAATCCCTCACGCTTCAAACTAAGATTACCCACCAAGGTACAATCCCTGTAGGATGTTGTCCGAAATTCCGAACTTGGTTCGGGCCCGGGCCTTATTGTATGCCGCCCAAACCAAACCTCAACCAACACTAAACCTATAGTCCAAGGCTAAAGCCTTGAAGACGTTTACTTTCGCTGGACACTGCCAAACAAAGAATGCTCAATCAGATGATTGCGAGTGAGAGCACAGGAGCCTTGCGGCAGTTTGGGGTGAGTGAGAGAGTTGGGCAACCGCCTACGAAAGGGATCGACACCTAGATGTTGTTTTGAGCTGTTCATCTCGTCGATGTATGTTGTGGGTTACTTGTGGAACATACTTCTACTTCGGATGAATACCCCGCTCCGGATGGATCCGGGGGTGTTCCCCAATAGTGTGGACAGCGTCTTTTGTTTTGAAGCTCTGGCGTCTTCAATCATACGAACGGCAAACGTTATTGCGAGGATCATCTAAACCAGTATTTCTGTCTGATACGAGAAGGGAAGCATGCAAGAAAATATTGACACGAGCCAATCGGGATCATCCCGCCCATGTTCTATCTTGACCGAAAGTGTGTGCGCCTGTGCAAATGGGGGAGTACTGAAATTATATCTTTGCAGATCAACGGCAAACCACTATTCAGGCAGGCCATCTCGATCTTTTAGAATTTGGCACCCGATTTCACCCACGATGAAGATTCTTTTCTTCAGGGTCCATGTCTTGCTTCATGTTTGTGAATAGCATTCTATACCCTGCCTCCAACCAACGTGGGACCTGACTGGCCTCTGCAAGACACTTGTCATTTCGGGCTTGTTGGCAGGGTCAGATTTGTTAGTTACATCAGATTCCTTTCTCGGGAAGAATTGCTTCTTTGTCAGTGGGGAGCTTGGATTCCTGGAGGATATGTGACTGCTGCCCGGCTTCTCTACGACAAGAGCTTTGGTGACCCCACACAGGAGGACTGGACTGAGTGAAATTGGGCAACCACCCCGCCCCCATGAGAACTTAGTGGGAGGAGCGGCGAGGGGGGATTCTATGTCATTGGCACGGCACTGGGGTATCCCGAGCAGGGATGAGCAACAACAGTTGGTTTCTTGGGTCATGAGTGCTGGACTTGTACCGTACGCTTGAGGAGCCGAACGACATGCTCATGTTCTGCTTTCTGCTGCAGCGCGCCCCCTAGCACCCAGCTGTCAATCTCGCAAATCACTTTCCCCTCTTTATTAGAAGTTAGAACTATTACCCTTATAGCTTTCAGCCATCTGGGGAAATATATCTTAAATTTGACGGTTTGGGGACCAAATGTCGTCTTTCCCCTGTCCAGCGGCGGGGTTTCCTTGGAAATCCGCGGCCTGAAAGATGGACCTCTTGCTGCAATTGGTTTAGGATCCGAGCGCAGCCTCAATGTAGGCAGTGCGCAACACCCTGGCCGCGCACTTCCGGAGCTCCAAGCAAAGTCAAGCGCAGGACACAAACAGCACAGCACAGCTGCACGGCGGACAAGCAGACTGCTCGACTGCGCGCTACGCCTTTGACAGCGGGTCTAGGTCCCAGCTCGAGACGTACGTAATGTGTCACAAAACTCCAATGCAAGCTCGCATGGAACCTGGAAAAACGGATCCCAAGAAGGAGATTCCTCTAGACTCTAGACATGAAGGATGGTACCTTGTTCACCGCATAGAATCCCCAGTGGGGCGGATTGCGGATTATGCAGTTTGCCCATTGGACAAGTGCGCTTTACGGAGTACGGGTTATGGGTTGCATGTGTTTTCAATGCTCCAGCAAAAGGTTTCAAGCCTCACTTTGCTTTGCAGTGCAGATTGCGGATTAAGAAGATTGTCAACCAGAAGAAGGATTTAGCGGATTACGGATTGTGATTGGGGCTTAATGGATTTCGGACAGGCTAGTATATCATTTGCGGACTGAAACGGCTGGAAGGCCATGCTTAGCAATGACTGCTGATGCGCCATGCAATCACTACAGTATATATATATATATATATGTATAATATGTACATAACGTGGGTGATGGGCACGATGCTCGTGCAGAAAATCTGCTAGTGGACGTGTCCGTTTCAGGCACCTAGGCCTACTTTCCTGTTGTCAGGTATGCCTTTGACGTCAGCATTGAAGCGATCAACGGCTTCTCGCGGGTCATGCAGACCTTGTGCCCTCCTTTTCAGAAGGCCGCGGGCTGAAACCAATGGGAAAGCGCAACTGTTTGATCAAACACCTGCATGATCCACTGATTAGTCGCCGATTGCGATGGGGCCGACTTTGGGTCCACCTGTTCCCATAGAGGGGCAGGGTTGGTGATTGCTTAGTAACCATGGACACAACGTGATACAATTCACGTATGCTTGTTCCAGAAGTGGGTCAAAAGCATGGTTGCTAGCCACTTAGTATCCGCTTCAGAAAATGGGACACCAGGAGCCTTCAACGGTTTGGTAGCGGGCTCCTTAATTTCAGATGTGTGCTTGTGAACAAGCAGCCGTTTGGGGATGTGTCAAATCACGGGGGAAGCCAGTTTCTATGAGAAACCATGAAACCAACTGTGCTATTGCTGTGTCCATGTCTAGATCCTTTCTTTAGTTGTGGTACATGGGAACCAACATATCAATGTCTGCTGACCTGCAAGCACCGGGATCTCTGTGGAACCGGGATCTCTTTGGAACTGTTTGCGTGTGAAAGGTTTACTTATGGACCAGACTCCAGCGTTTATACTGGGTTAGGGCAAGACTTCAGGGATAGGGCTGTGGTGCCAAGCAGTTTTCTGGAGTCCAAGGTGACCTCTTTCTTCCGTCTTTCTACTCGCCCTGCGAGCAGATGCCAATAATAGGTTTCGGTCAGAATCAGATAGAGCCATTTTGAGCTGCCTCTGTTCACATCCCAGACCTCCGCTGGGCTGCTTCCTGTTTTTTTGTAGGAGGGGCATTTTTTTTTCGCAAAAGTCAGCTACCAACAAACATGTGCAGTTTTTTTGGTGCTCCAAGGCTCTCCTGACTTCTCTCGGCTTTCGACAGGATGGCCAACTCTCCCATTCGAAGCGCTTGGCCAAAGGTCAATGTCTCCGAGTAGGGAAGGTTCCGTTTTGAACCGCTTTCAACATATGAATATTTGTTCCATATCGCAAGGTTCACTCAGGCCATGACGTGTTTTCTTGGACGCGCGGAACCGCTGCTTGGGGTGGAGCCCTGTCACAGGGGGAGTTGTTCCCACCGCTGTCTGGAGTTCATGCGGGCGCGCGCCTGAGATGAGGCGGTGAACATGTTCGGTCCGAATACCAGGGCAAAACCAATGAACCTGGTTGAATGCGTATATATATATATACAATATAATATATATATATATACAACCATCCTACATAGAACATAATATAATATCATATACGCAACTATCCATTTTGGGTTCCCGTTTGGCCATTAAGGATAATGTTTCTTGTTTAGCCGGGTGGTGCTCCTTTGGTCTTCCTTCACAGCAGCTCCTGCAAGGCGAAGCTAAAGACAGACAATGCCATTTGTGACAGTGTCACAGCATCCTTGGACTTGGGGGATCCTGGGGGTTGCAATCAGGGATAGTCTTCAAGCCTTCAGACAACCACTTGGGTCCATTGCAATGGAACCGTGACCCTTTCCCACAGAAAGAGTGGACCAGGCATATGGCATGTTACACGGCGGACAATAAAGGACTCACGTGAGACGTGCCAGAACAGCTCAGTTGCACAGCACACTTTTCATTTGTTTGGATAGGTTTCCCTTGAAATTCAGAACAGCCAAAACGGGTGCCCTTTTTCCCATGGGCACTGGGCTTGTCTTTTCAGATTTCACTCCTTCAGGCCGGTATCATTTCTTGCCATGGCAGTAATCCCGGGAAAGGGTCGTATGACAAACGAACACTGGAAATCAAGGACCAATCAACCTGTGGGTAGTTAATGGGGGATGCAGCCCATTTGGGTTACTTCTGGGAGAGACCCCCTTTGGTCCGGCAGGATTGTGAATTCAACTTCAGCATACCATGGCATGAAGAGCAAAAGTATGTGGCTCATATTGGGGGGTAGCCGTTTTTGAGGGTACATAGGTACCCTTTTTGGGCTGGTTTGTATACTGTAAGGGGAAGCAAGAGGAATGCAAACATATTGAGGGGTCCACTATTGGAGAGACACTCATCACGTCCAAGACTTTTGGCCGCCTTTCTTGGTCAAGGGCAACCGGATCAGAAATCCACCCTCTCATGTCAGCGTTTGCCCCTAGTTTGCCGCTGATTCAATATGTATAGCCACTGGGCCTCTAGTAGACTAGACAAGGGTGTCAATCCAAGCATGGCTGGAAGGGAGTGGGTATTGTTCTTTGGTGGGTGAAGACACTGTTGGTTTCGATATTTGCTTGAAATCATTGCTGAAGACGGAAGCACCCAGGAGACTTTGTAAACCTCCGTGGGTCAAGTCGCTTGTCAAGCTATCTTCGCTTGAAGCACCGCGCTTGGGCAACCGTATTTCTTAACGCATGGTGTTTCCGAAGTTTAGTTGTCCGCATCGTCGATGTTATGAGTGTCGGAATCCCTCAAGGATGATTGAGGCAAGTGTTTATCTCACAGCCATTTTGATCACTGTGCACCAGACCGGCTGGACGTACTCGGCAGATTGGCAAGTTCCATTGCGATCTTGGTAGAAAGGGGTTTGCAAACCAGGCAGGTTCCTTGGGGCTCCATTTTCTTTTCAGTTGGAAGCAATCCGACACCCATGGGCGTGCATCACCTTGAGTACTGCAAGTCTTATTGCAAGGACCTTTCCAGGATTCCATCGTCCGCATGGATTTCTGGTTTTGACACGCCGGCCTGTGCTAGGGATCAGAGGGATGTCCGGGCTTCCATGGGTTCACCGAGTGTGTTTCCGCACCGGAAGTCAACAGCATGGCTCGGAAAGTGGCGGGGCAACCATGCTCAATAAAGGTTTCGGGATCAGTTGCCACATCCAGTTGTGTCTTGTTTGCATTGGGTGCATTGTTTGCATTGTTTGCATTGTTTGCAATGTTTGCATGGGGTGTCCAGATCATCAACTAAGAAACGGACACCTTTGACAGCGAGGCAAAGTGGGAAGTACTATGTTATGCGCTCTAATGTAATCTATGTGTAGGGAAGGAGGTGGACATTCGTGGGGCACCTTGCGACGTTTCCCTGGCTACTAGGTCCAAATACATTTTCCCTAAGTGGTAAAAAAAACGATGATGTCCGGGTACCTGGGTACCTCATTCCCCATGAGGAGTGAGGATGTTTGTGCACAAATGGGCATGTCTTCTTGGGACCCCTTGGAGAATACAGCGACACTCCCTGTCTCGGGGTTCCTCCATTTGGAGACAAATCCACGTAGGTTGTCCTTGATTGGCTGTCCAAACCAAATTTCAGCACAGAGCACTACAGCCGCCTCGAGTTAAATGAGCGCCGTAAACCACTCTTGGCCAATGAGTAGGGGTTTCCGCTGGCTTCATGGGGATGAAAACGGAAGGCCTGTCTAAATCTTCCTTCCTAGTGCCTGAACCCGCATCAGGTTGGCACTTTCACCCACCAGACGCATGGAAAGCATCCCTCATAATACGCATCTTTCACCCAGCAGCGGTATAAACCAACCAAACACACACACACAACAAAAAAAACATTCAAAAGCAACAGCTGTCCAAAAAATCCGTCTAAACCCAAGCACCTCCACACGCGATCCGTCAAACCCAACCTCAGCTCGGGTCTTCGATGCTCAGGCGCGGTGTGCGTCGGCCTCATGGACCGGGCCTCGCGGCTGGCCCGGGGCAAGGCTCGCCCGAAGCGACTTCCACGGGAAGCGTTGGCTCGAAGCCTCGAGGCCCTCTGCTTCAAGATTTATTTATTTTTGTTTTAGAAAGTTGGCTCTGCTTCTTGCTTGAGAAAGTTGAGAAAATTGAAAGTTTCTTGTTGAAAGTTGAGAAAGTTGAGAAAGGTGAACAGTTGAAAGTTGAATGCAACATTTTAGTGGCAAAGCTCACGAATGGGCGCTTCGCAACTTTACACATGCTGAAGCTTAGCTGTTGAGCGTCTGTGATTTGCGGAGAAATTCTGTCAGCAAAACGCCAATCAGCGCGCTGGTCTCTTTTAAGCGATTTTAGTCATTCTAACATGGGTGACTCGTGCTAGGAATACAGGACGGGGTTTAGGGTGGTACTTGGAACTGTGTGTTTCTATGTGCCAGAAAAATGAAAATACCCTCGCAGATCCATGCGAACTGTTGGGGGCCCTTCCGTGAACGGCCATGTCTTCGTTTTGTTAGGCTTGTGGTTTGGACACCACTCTTGGCTGCTGTCCGTTCCAGTGATCTTCATATTGGTGCGACGGGGAAAGGAAAGGAGCGCACCTGGCGTGCCTGGGTGGGGCACGCGAGCAAAAGGCGAAAGGCGAAAGGCGAAAGGCGAAAGGCGAAAGGCGAAAGGCGAAAGCGGGGGAGGGGGGGCGGGGTGTTCCTCCCAGGGGTTTTGCCAAGAAAAACACGGTGACCCCCAAAGCGGGCCCCTTTTTCCAGCAAGGACACTGGGCAAGCGTGCCGGTGCCGGGGCTTCGGTTTTCTTCGGCCAAGGCTATGGTCAGCTGTTGGATGGCGTCACACGCACTAGCACACTCAGCAGCACACGTACAATACTCCGCGCACGCACAGCTTCCAGATATATTAGTGTACACCTAAAACCCTGGCAGGGGGGGGTCCCATTCATACTAAATAAGATCTGTTACATCAGCAAGGCCTTGACGGTTTGCCCCTCTTGCCAGGACACTCAGCTGGCGGTGGAGGCGGCGGAGTTTAACCAGGCCACCGCATGTGTTGCCTGCCGGGGGACAGAGGTGTTGGTGTTTCTATCAAATTGGTTGGACCCCAAGTTCCTTTGGATGTTTTGTACATCCAATTCGGTGGGGTTCCCGACTTTAGGAGTCTCAGGAAGGGCATGATTTTCGCAGGGAAGTCCCAGAGAATCCGTTGGGAAGTTATGGGTCAGCGTTCATTGATATCAACATCTCTTGAGTTGTCTCAGATTAGTTTTGTGGGCAGAAGAAAACTACCCGCCAAGGGGATTGTATAGCTCCAAATAGAGTTCATTGCCACGAATGATCATGACTCTTCGCACAGGAACCACTCAAATTACGGGGCAGTTTCAGTTCAGGTTCACCTCAGAAGCAGGCAATCAAAGTAGTGTTGTTTCCTTTTTGATCTCGGGACTCGGGACCAATCGAAGGCGGGGTTCACAACAAAAGCAGACACCAATGTCTGTGATCCGAGGGATCCTTGCCACATGAAGAACAAGTCATAACGCCGCTTCCCACTGGCCGTGATTGGACAAGTGCCTTTCCTTTTTCACAGTGGTCCAATGGATTGGTTTTGTGTCTTGCTGCCATGCGTTCAACTTTGCTTGTCTAGTTCATCAGTCTGAAGTAAACAAACCAGAAGGCCGCTTGAAGAGGACAATGGACTGTCAAGGAACACCAGACAGGTTCCATAATTATTGGGTGATTGGCATCCTCCAATATCAAGTTTAGTCAATCTTGGCAAAGCATATCGATTCATGTTTCATCAAATTGAGCAACTAAAACAATTCTGGTTGCGTATTGTTAGATTGTTAGGCTTGGGAGGACCCGAATTTCCCAACGAGGTCGCCGAGCAGTTCCTCCGGTTTTGGGAAATCGGATAGAGGACTTTGGTCAATGGCTAGGAGGCCTATACACATATATACATATCACACAGCTACACGACTACGAATATCGGACCTTTCGATATGTTTCTGGGTTCCTTCGTTTGCTAGGTCCCCCAGTAGTTCCCTTTTTACCTTTTTCTTGGGGTGGGTTCCCCTACTAATACAGAAAAAAAACACGGCACCCTTATTCTAACCTCTCTACTGAGGGGCCTAGTTTGCAACCGCCTCTTAAGGTCGTTGCTCCGTCCGCCTCTCGATTGGGCCCCAATGAGCCAGGTGGTGATGCAGCGCCTGGAGGAGAAGTTCTTCTTGAGCCCCAAGATCCTTGGCGATTTGAGCTTCTGAGTCCCCTTTTTGGGCTTGGTTAAGGAAACCACAACGAAAGCACCCCCCCTCCCCATATGCGGTGATTTTGCTTTATTTTGAGACAAACCCAAGTGTCCAAAAGGTTCCATAGAGGTCCGGGGTCAGACAGGTCCAGCTATGAAGTGTATCTCTGAAGGCCACGGACACTTTTGGACCTCCTGAATATGGAAATGATCTAGGAGAGTTCCCTATCCAGGTCCAATCGTGTCAACTCCTGGGGTGAAAGGTTAATCTGGAAAATATGTAACCTCGAACTATCAACCAAACAAAGACTAACCTACAAACACCTTCCTGTTCATCACCCAAAAACCAATTCAACCACTATAGAAGCAAGTTCAAGCAACACTAAAGCAGCCCCCATATTCGTCAACAAGACAAGTCAGCACGGATCGCAGCGTGGGCTTTCTAGATCCAAGGATCTTCGAAGCCATGGACCAGGACCAAAGCCCGGGAGCCCAGACGAGTCGGATTTTTTCAGTTTTTGGAGAGAGGCGAAGCGATGAAACGAGCTCGTTGCGCTTGTTCTGGCTGAAGTGCATTTGTTTTTGCTGCGGTGTTTGTAGGTTTTCCAGAGGTCATTGGAAGTCTACTTTCCTTTTTTGTCCCGCTTATTGCCCGGGAATGTCTGGACATGATGATGTTATATATATATATATGCATTTCTTGTTCTCAAAACAGGCGGACCTGCAAAATTGGCGGGCTGTTCATGATGAGCTGTCTGTCCCTTTAAACAAACCCAAGAAGGGGATTTACCCTCAAATACTTGTTAGACTTGTCATGTGATTAGCATATTCTCATTGGGCTCAAGGTACCACCCCGCACTTTCCCAGTAGTCAAGTCTAAACTGTTTGGGAAGAACCGTTTTGGCTGGTCAACAACCAGCTTGCACTGTGTCTGACCAATTCACTCAGGAAGTGATCCCCGCACCAGACTCACGGTTTGGCGCACTCGAAATGTGAAAGTCTTCCAAACCGTGTGGCGCGTGCCATGTGCGAGGGAGAGCATGAGTTCTCCGGGGGAATGCGAGGGAATGGGTAAGTGTTGAAGCAATCAGGGCCTTGTGATTCTGTATGCTTGCCACCATTCATGGCTAGCGTACAAGTTAAGGATTTGAATCAAGGGTCCGCAAAGTAGCATGCAGCTCTCCCGGTGTCTTGCTAACCCTGTGGTCTTTTTTCATGCCTCTGTGGATACTGCAAGAGAACCTACCCTGGGCACGTTATATGTACTAAACATGTGATGCCGTCAAAACCGAGTTTGTTGCTCGGTGTTCCACGGGTGCAACACCGAGCTTGTTGTTTGGGTGTTCCATGCTATTCTGCCGGAGAGCATGCTTTGCCTGAGCTGCAAACTCAACGCAGCAGTTCTTCGGACTCCTTGCTGGGTGGTGCCAAAACAGGCTCACACAAAGGCCTCATGGCGGTAGCTCTGTAGCGCACACTACCGAGGCCGTTTAGGCAGCCTAGTTGTGTCTGTTAAAAAAAACATGGCTAAGTAGCTGTTTGTGCAATGCTTAAAAGGGAGACCAAAAGACAATCAATCACCTGGAGGAATTGGTCCTAACTTTCAGCCCAGTAGCGAAACCATGGAAACGCGCTTTGTGCCAAAATCCCGGTTTACTCCTCCTGCTTTGGATCTTCCTATACGACTCTGCGCCGGCTCGACTCAGGCGGCGAGCTCTCCATGATGGAATTTGTGGAGGCCAGGCGAATCGAGAGGAGTTGTTCTCTTCACTTATCGCTTAGGCTCATCGACTGTTTGCGATTCTGAAGTTCTTGTTTTTGACATGTTGCTTGTGTCTGGCGTTTCGCCTTTGGGGCTGCATTTCACAATCGTCTTGTTTGATTATGACCCATCCAGCGGTTCCAGTTACCACTCTAGAGGCAAGTAAGGTTCATCAACAAAGGAAGTTAGCAAGAACTTTTGCAGTATGGAAGCAGTTGAGTTAGCTCTCTTCAAGAATGCATGCACTTGGACGTGGTGTTTAAGAAATAGAAGCTTTGCTGGCAGTTGAAAAGCTTAGCTGGAAAACGCAAGAACCGGGGAACAAGAGCGGGCTCTGTGCATGCATTGGGCTCTCGCACACGCACGCAAACCGCCTTGGTCGCAACGTCTCACGGAGGCGTTTCTTGGAGCGAGTGCGAACATGGAGCCATTGGCACGGCCGCACGCCCTGCTTCGCAGCCTTCAATCGGTGAACCCTTTGTGCACTTTGGGTGGGTCGACCTTCAAAATCGTTAGTTTTAAATGCTGTTCACTTTGCTTGCGTAACCAGTTGCGAAACAAACCTGTTTTTGTTTTACTTTGTTTGCTTGCGAAACTAGCATAGCATGAACCTTTCGGGGGGTCAACCGCGCTCAAAAAGCTCAGTGCTTTGTTGCGTGTGTGTGTGTTTTCCTCCTAGAGAGAGGGAGAGAGATGGAGAGCCAGAGAGAGTGAGAGAGAGAGAGAGAAAGAGGCAGAGAGGAGAGGGAGAGAGAGAGAGAGCGAGACTGAGAGAAGGGAAGGAGAAAGAGAAAGAGAAAGAGAAGGAGGAAGAGCAAAGGAAATGGAAGGGGAAAGTCGGAAAAGAAAGAAACGGCGAAAGACAAAGAGGGACTGAAATGAGACAGATAAAAGAGAACAACACAGAAGAAGAGGATGAGAAAGAGGAAGAGGAACAGACGGATGAAGAGGAGGATAAAATAATGAACAAGAAAAAGGAAAGAAAGTGAAAAAGAGAGAGAGAGAGAGACAACTGGAAATTCTGAGAGCTTCAAACTATCAGTTTATAAATATGTGCATGTGAAACGTATGCCCTCCGGCTCTGCCGGACTTTTCCGGTATCTAGGTTTTACATGAAGGTTTCTACTGGTATCTGCCTTTTACTGTCGGGTTCTTTGGCTGCAAGTGAGTCGCGATCTGGTTTGGGCTGCAAGCTTCCTGCCCCTGTGGTTGACTTGAAGGGGGAGCGGCAAAAAACCAAACATGTGAGCTTCTTAGTTTCGCAACATGGCCAAAGATGAGCCAGGCACACATAGCCTACGCTCAGAGAACCTAATGTTTTTACGTATACTTTAGGAGGCTTCGTTGAAGGCTTTTGCACATTAAATTTAGTTTGACCCAGGATGAATAAATCCCTAGCTGCTTTATAGGGGGTGGCCCAATTTGGCTAATAATCCACCAGCTTGATTGATCTGCGGTCGGCATTCGTGCACTTTTCTCGGGTTCCTGTTTTCGGGTTGTGTTTGTTGGCCATGTTTTTGCGCGTTGCCTTTTTGGCGAGTGAGCCACTCCCGTATTGCCGTGGAAATTTCGAGAGGTCATTGCCCATCGGACATTGAGTCGACGTGGAACTAGGAAAGCCCGCGGGTTTATCCCTAGTTGCTTAGGGACACTTAGAAACTATGTGTTTCTTCTGGTGGGTTCGCCACTTAAAATGGAAGCAACACTTGGTGTTCTGCTTTTTTCCGGGGGTTCCCCACTCGAAGTGTAATCCAAACCACTTTTCACTTCTGTTCACTGAGGTTTAACAGTTTGCAACTTCAAAATAGAATCAGCCCAATCAGGCTGCCCCGTGTCTTCCGTTCGGGCCACTGGTATCTGACTTGGTCCCTGATTCAAGCCTCCTTCAACCTCTCGAACTGTCCAGGCCTTCAGCTCAGTCAATCCCATGCCTTGGGAGTTTGGGGGGGGGGGTGCTGGGATTTCTGTAAGACAACTTTAGTGAATTCAGCAGGTCTTTGGGTGGTGGCTGTGTTGGATCTCTGAGAGTCTCAAGCAATCTTGGGCCAGTCAACTTTGCTTCCGGCGTCCGCCAAATGGCTTTCGAGCTCTCTTGGGCAGGGCATGCGGAACATCGATATGTACAAGGCACTGCGCAACACGCAAGGGGCGGATGAGCAGAGTGTGGCAGTAGCATAGTGGGAGCTTTTGTGGGTTTAGTGGGAGGGGTGGGAAACTCTCCTCAACAAGTCTTGAAATGTGGCTGGTGCTTGATTTTTCAAATGAGGTTCTCCTCTCGGCCGGGGGCCAGGAATCCCCTGATTGTCAACCACATGTCTTTCTGACAAGTCCATGCATGAATCAAGACCAATGGTCGTAAGGGCTTTACGGGGAGCGCCCAGAGTTCCCCGTGACCCCAAATCCATCAGTGCTTTTACATGGTTGTTGTTGGGAAACATCTTACATTTTTGCTTTTTGTGGTTTAGTGGTTGAAATCCAACCACTCAACTGCTAAAATTATTATTTTTGCTCCCCTTCCAAGGTTAACCCAGTTTAGATTCCTTGGGTATTGGAGTGTTTGTTTCGTTTAGGGCCGTTCCTGATTGACAACCAGAGGTGTTTTGGGAACCCCGCTTGACATTGGGCTCACGCAGGTTGATTGTCACATGCTTGTCATTGACCTTTTGGTGACGTATGGTTATTTTGGACTATCCAGGAATCTGTTCTCTGCAAGGATCCATGCCACTCAGGGTTTGGTTGCGTGTTCAGCCCACCTGCTTCATGCGTAGGACGGGAAAAGCAGCAAAGGCACTGGACGGAGATGCGAACGCGAACGGCTCGAATCCCTGCGTCGCTTTTCCAGCTTAACTTGTGGTAAAGTGACTCTTAGCATCCTTCTATGAGCTGTATGTTGCCGTCTACTGGACGGCCTCTCGACAGTCTCGGAAGCAAACAAGCCAATCAACTAGCCGGCAGGGGAGCAAGCAAGCACGCATACTCATTGCCGCCTGGGGGGCTAAAAGTTGAAACGCTCCTTTTGGATCTTGTCTGAAGCTAAACGAAAAGGGCCTGGATTCGCTAGGAGTTCCGACACGAGCGCGTGCCTGAAGACGTGTGCGCAGCCCTGGTGGGTCGGTTTTGCAACTGAAGGGGTCCTGGGAGCTTTTCATATCGGCCAGGGCAACCCCCCAAACAAACATTGACATGATGATTTGCATTTACATGTATCGAATTCGCCCCCGTCAAGGTCAGTCAGTTCTTTCCTTTTGGTTTCCTTCAAGCAAAGCACAAATTGGTCAGACCTTTGGATCAGGTCCGGGGACTGCCCGCTTGAAGTGACCGCCCAGTGGCCGAATTGGTGAATTCAAGGGGCAGTACTGGAAGCACTGAAGTCACTTGAAGCTCGATTTGGGGATGTTACCCTCATTTAAAGACACAACCATGTTCTTGGTCAGTGAAACACAGGTTCTTGGAAGCAATTAAATGGGCTCCATCGGTTTCAGCTTGGTTCAAAGCATTTGCCTCTGCCACTTGTTCTTCCAACATACTAGTATTTTGTGCGACTTTGCTCATTCAGTCATAAGGTTGAAAATTTGCTCATTTGCCAGTGCCAAATGTTTGTCCAAAGAGCAGTCGCTCTTTGCTTTCGTGATTTCGCTTATTTCGGTGCCAAGTGTTTGCGTTTGCAGAATGTTTGTGTTTGCAGCGCTCAAGGTAGTTAGGAATTGCTTTTGCGCGTTCCGGACTCCGAATCGGACCTAAATCTCATCATGCGGGTCTGCACGTGGTGATCCCAAGGGCTTGCTTTTTGCGCGCCCCCTAGACAAATCCAAACCACCAACGAAAAAGACACCGAGTGTGGAGTTTAAATTTATGTATATTTGCTCATACTGATACTGGAACTTATTTTGGGGTATTTGAAAGGGAAACCAACTGGAAGCCGACCATTTGTGGGGAAGTTTAGTTTACCTGCAGCTTTGCTGGTCCAAAGTCTAAAGCTCGTTATTTTTTCAGGTCTTAGCAGCGGAATGAGAAGCAACAGCTGAATCATTGGCGGCTCTAGGACCCATCTTGGGTTAGATAGCCCATAGTTCTGTAGTTCGCGAGCTGACTCGAAGAACCAGGAGCCATTGCCCCGTGAATCTAGGGGTTGATTCCTTGTCCATTCTTTTCAATCATCGTTCTTTTCAATAACCTGCCATTTTTCCCTGGGTTGCTGGAGGCTTTCTGGAAAGAAGGATCCCTGGAAAGAGTGGAACTGGAAGGTACCCCTAGAACTATTGATAGGGAGGTAGCTGAAAATGATCATCAACCTTGCATACGTCAGTGATCATCAACCTGTTGTGAACCTCCCTGGAAAGATTCGGATCCCTGGAAAGAGTGGAATTCTGGAGGTTTTCTGAAAAGAAGGATCAGTGGAATTGGAAGGTACCCCTGGAGTGGAATTGGTTTCTTGCCCTGGAAATGTCCATCCGACCCGACGGCCTGTGTCCCAGAAGCCCGTAGGGCGCTTGCAAGCCCGCCCGCAGGCTGCGGATGATCGTCGCGGACCTGGCCGAGCGGCTTTTTCAAGAGGCGCCGCGAGAGAGAGCTCTGCGCGTTTTTTTGCAGGGGTTCCCCAATCGATACATCCAAAAACCGTGCTTCATGAGAGTGGGAGCCGCAAAAAAAAAGCTGGAACGGGTGATTTTCCGCAGGGCTGACATGTATATAGGGAAGCCTAAGCTCCTCTGAGACTGGACCAGCTTGATCAGATTTGAGTGCTGATTTGTCTACTGGCGTCTTGGTAAGACCTTGCAATGAGCTTTCATCAGACGGGCTACTGAGAGCTCGCAAGGCTTTAGTAGCACTCTCTTGCTGTTTTGATTTGCGAACCCTTTGTTGAATCAAGGGCTGCCCTTGTTCTCATTCTTGTGAGAATCCATTCTATTTGGAATTTGCTTCAGGGAGATGTGTGTAGCTTCGCCAGGTGTTTTCAAAGATAGTTCACCTTTCAGTTCGGTCAACATATCCAGCAGTTGATTGTCCACTGAAAAGGGACATGGGGGCGGGACTCACTAGATTTACCACCAAAACCAGGGGACTCAGTAATTGTCCCCCATTTGCTTGACGGAAGCCACAGTTTTTGCCAGTGGCCCTGTCAACAGCAGTCCCTCTTTCAGAACGCACCTCCGACGCCTTTCCGGTTGGCCGTGCCCGGTGCAGGTTGGAGCCCAGAGTCACGCGCGCACGGTTTCCTTGCGCCAATGCTCGATGTTTGTTTGGTCCAGGTCCCCCAGTAGTGCCCTTTTACCATTTGGTTGCCCTACTAAAATAGACTACCGAAAAAAGTTGGTACCCTTATTCTAACCTCTTTACTGGAGGACCTAGTGGTACGAGCAAGGTATGCCTTTGCTGAGACGCAGAATGCAGCCGGTGTTCCCAGCTCCCCATCCAAGAGAAGCCATATGGCATGGACGAGATGAAGATAGACGGACTCGCAGATGGAAGTTTGCGCGAGGACCCAGCCTGAAGTCGCCCCACTTCCTGTTTGCTAGGATGGACCTATTGGCAAGGGTGGAATTGGTCCTGTCAAGGGTTCCAAGCAATTAAGCATTTGTTTGACGCAGATCCTTGCTAGATTCCCCCATCATAGCTACCACCCGCTTACTTCCACAGTTGACGGCCTATCCAATCAAAATGGTGTGTGTGTGTGCAGAAGTTGTTGTTTCATGCATGCGAGACCTGGCCGGAAACAAATCGGCAGATCCCCAACTATGGACATGGCTGTTGTGGGCCCAACGTTCTGTTTTGTATATGTTTGGTGTAGGTTTGGGCAAATAGCAACCAAATTATTCACTTCGGAGCATGCCTTAAGATGTTTTCGTTCATTACAGCCCATTTCGTTGCGTCGGCCTTCATAGTGGTTTTGCTTGCTGAGTCATCCGTGTTTCTGAGCAGTGTTTGCCAGGTCGACGTGAATGGAGATGGCACCTTAACGGTGGAGGCGAGCAAAGACCACGGCGGTCGTTCGGAGAAAACATTAGGTTGTTTAGAAGTGATCCTTAATCCTTATGCCAGATGGTGGTAATTTCCCTTGTAGTGGCATAGCAGATGGCTGCGTGCTTCAAGTTTTCGGTGTCCGCCAAGAGATAGGCTCTAGGACAGGCCCGCGTTTGGGTGAGTTGTGTTCTTGAGATTCACCGGGAGCCCATTTGAAACCAAGCAACTTACCGAGCAACGCAATGGCAATGATACATTCTCATGAATCAAGTTCAACAACCCGAGCCCCGGTAGGAACCATGGAAGACCCGACCGCCACACACTTCACAAAGCATCACAAAGCAATTGAACAAGATGTGGGGCAAATGTAAATGGGCTTGAGGGACCCCGCAAAATGGCGGTGTTGCATTGGTTTCCCTTTGAAACGACACCAAACAAAAGTTCCTTCAAAGCAAGACAAGCCCGTATATATGGCCAAGTATGATGTTTGATTTTGAGAACCTTCGAAGACTTGGACATGAATCCTCAAGATTGAAGTTGGGAAGTAGTTATTTGTGATGTACAGTGCGCTCAAGAGAAAGTGCTCCGCTAACCTTGCCGTTTTTAGGTGATTCTGACCTATCAATAGGTTATCAGTCGTATCGCTGGTAGCCTCTGCATCGCCCGCTCCCCAACCCGCGCCGCCAATGCGTGAGGCGGTGACAGCTGCGAAGATGAACGACCCAGATGCAAGTGAGCTCATGAAGGGTGGTCAACCGGGAGGGAAAGAACCAGCAACCCGTCGCAGCGGTCCCGGAGTCCGATCCAGAGGCCGCGCTTGCGCCCATTCAATCGTTGATACCCCGGGAGGAAGGGATGTTACCTCACCAAGCACGAAGTGAATGCCCCGAACTTCTTCCAACACAACCAAGCAGTGAACGTGGCGAACAGCGGTGCCATTGCAGAAGGCTTCAGCCCGCCATGACGCGATCTTGAATATGCTGCAAGCTGGACACACCGAAGAAAAGGGACGCTTCTACCAGGAGGCTCTATTTTGCAAATGAATGTAGGCGGCAAGCATCGGTCAAAGAGCAGGATCACAATGAGGCACAACGTCAGTGGGCTGCCGGAAAGAAGCAAGCTGAGCGCGATTTTGCACATGTCAAATTGCGCATGGAGCTGGGGATTAAACAACAGAAAGAGGATCTTGTTCAAGAAGTTGAATGAAATCGATCCCCTTGATGAAGAGCTGAAGACCTGCGATGTACAGGATCATGTGCAGTCTCCGCCTGGCGCTGTCCCAGCTGCAGGGCTGAGGCCTACTGCCACTCCCCTTTTTCCAGCGCCACCCCCCGGCATCGGCCTTATTTCTAACACACGTGTCAGGTCCTTTGTCCTCCAACCTGAGGTGCCCGATGACAGCATGGTCACTGCCTCAGAAACCTTTGCGCCAGGCTCAGGGGGGCTGGTAGCTTTCCTTCATCCGCGCACCTCCGCAAAGCGGGGGGTGTTGTCGGGAGGTAGTCGTTTGTGATGTACAGTGCAGTCGTTTCACACGCACCATGACGTGCAAGTTTGCTCAAGAAAAAGTCTCCGCTAACCTTGCTGTTTGTATTTGGTTATGACTCCATGACCTATACCATAACAATGGCCAACGCACGGTTGTTGAGTGGCTCTAATTTCCTTGTGGTTTTCTTTGCTTTCTGCTTCACTGGCCGATTCCCAGTCCAGAGATAATCATTCAACATCCCTAAACACCTGTACGGTCCACATCCTGTAAGGTACACGTTCCATGGAGTCCTGTGGTGGGTGACTGGAAAATCGTGAATGGTCAGAGAACCGGGCCCCCATCATGTCCAGTTTTTGTGGATTTGGACTTCAGCCGGCGCCCATACCGCGCTGGATGCCACATAGCACATGATTTGTTAGTTTGCTAGTGGAAGCCAAACGGAGATGTATCTTTGCTTGATTGATGTTTTCCAGAGCCCCTGTTTTACATGAAGACTTGCCAAGTCGGCGAACTTCAAGCGAGTGCAAAAAATGACCTTTCAAGCTTGACCAGGGCCAACACTACATATTAGTTGTTGTCAGTCAACACAGTCTGTGAGTGAAGCAACTTCCAAAGGTGCCGTGGAATCGTCACAAAACGCACGGGGATGGCTCGTGCAGGATTCAGAACCCAGCCCTTGTGTTTGTTTGCCACACCATGCCACAAGGGTTTCTTCTCACCCGCAGTTTCAGGAAATCGTGCCCCATACAGGGAATGCAGGACCAATACACCCTTGATTGGCTTTGATCAAGGGGTGCAACTCATGTCTGACAGGATTTGGACAACTTGCATGGAGAGTTGCACCTCTTATCGAGTCTGCCAGGTTCTACTCAAACTATAGCCCTGGTTTCCTTACCTCCACGCTGATGGTAAACCGCCGCAATGCCGACTACAAGCTCTTGAATGCGGAGACACCCCATATGTGCCATGGTCAAAACTCCGTTTCTTCCTTTTTCCTGTGCTTCCTGTTTGCCTTGGTCATAGCGACGGAGACAGCAGGTCAATCTACTATGAGCAGCTCCTTTTGCCCACCCTGGGTAATGCGCTCCCGAATAGGCAAAGCCTGACCAACCAGACACTCGAAGTCCACCCGGTGCTCAAGCCATTGCTCAGGCCTTCGACAATGCAGCTACAAGGAGCAAGTTTTTTACCCACCAGATCACTGCAACACATCGGGACATGTGCACATGCTGCATCTTCTGGCCCCGGTTCACAAAAGGAAAAGAGAAAAGGTCCATTGGCCACCCTTTCAGCGTCCAAAATATCATCGACGGCGGCAGCGCCAAACATTGCAAATCTTCTGACTTACTGACCAATTTTGCAGCGTGTGGACACACAGCGCAATGCAGCTGCTCGATGCCAGTCTGGCTTGTCTCACACTCTCCAAGACCGGCTGCTCCTGGCAGACAATGATCCTCTCAGCATCAGCACGTTGCAAACAAAACACACCACCATGGCCTCAAGCATCAGCTCGCGCAGGTACTTTTGCCACACGAGATGCACACAACCTGTCGCTCCCCTTCTTGCAGCAGGACCCGTTCTGCTTCATCCCGACTCACCTTGGCAGCCTCCACCATGTAGACAAAGCTGCGTGAACTGCTGTCCATGGCAGACCAACCTCAAGCTCGGCTGGCACTACCATCTTGGTGGCTTGGGCCAGCTGGTCCAAACTCCTGTGGACTATGGTCATGGGTCCCTTATACAAGAAGCCCGATCCCAAGCTATGTTATGGTAGGCAATTAACCCACCGCTTTCTTCTTGGTTTAAAGGGTTTTCCACTCCACAGGAAAATGGATCGTTTGGTCTAAAGGGTGGTCCCCTTGGTTGCCACTCTACAGCTAAATGGATCCACTTTTAAGGAAAGGGACACATCAACCGCAGAGACTGCAGGAGATCGGCATGGCCATCCGAAGGCGGCGTGCCGAGGCGCGAGAGTAGAGGAGATCCCTTTCGCTGGACGTTTACGCATTTGCCCTCAGTTAAGTATCTTCGTTCCTTTGACAAAAGATGTCTCCCATTTCTAAGGATCCCTTTCAAGCGTTACAAAAAGAAGTGCCCTTTTCAAACAGACACAACTAGGCCGGGGGGGGGGGGTGATTCCATTTTTAAAGAGGCCCCTTTATGCCTTTGGCCGGGGGGGTGATTCCATTTTTACAGAGGCCCCTTTATGCCTTTTAAGCGTTGCACAAAGAAGTGCCCTTTTCAAACAGACACAACTAGGCCGGGGGGGGTGGGGTGATTCCATTTTTAAACAGGCCCCTTTCTGCCTTTAAGCGTTGCAAAAAGAAGTGCCCTTTTCAAACAGACACAACTAGGCCGGGGGTTGATTCCATTTTTACAGAGGCCCCTTTATGCCTTTTAAGCGTTGCACAAAGAAGTGCCCTTTTCAAACAGACACAACTAGGCCGGGGGGGTGGGGTGATTCCATTTTTAAACAGGCCCCTTTCTGCCTTTTAAGCGTTGCAAAAACAAGTGCCCTTTTCAAACAGACACAACTAGCCCGACTAGGTAGTGTGCGCATGTGTGCGCTGTGAAGCTACCATCAGGGCTTCGTGTGAGCTTGTTTCGGGGACACCACCCGTCAAGGGGTCGGAAGAACAGCGACGATCCCATTTTGAGAGAACCCACTCCCGGAGGAATACTCCATGGTTCGGAGTCTGAATTCTAAATCCGCCAGCCCAGAGGCTTGGAACCAGCCACCCAATAGCGGCAAGGCAAGATGTCCCCCAGTGTTTTGTGTATCATTTCTTACCGGGCTGAAGGATAAGCTTGTTCGTAGACTCATGGAAAAGTTAGAACGTCAACTGTGACGGTGCTTAGGGCAACGTGGCAGGGCAAACATGGCAACTTTGCAATCATGCCGTGCGACGTATTCGGTTGCCGAATTATACTGCACTTGTGTGTTAACTTGGTCGCTCCCAGCCATCCCCTTAGTTTTTTAGCCTTTTAGTGTTTAGTGGCAGTTTCCATTTCACCCACCAAAAGTTAAACTTTTAGCGGGGGATCTGAGGGCAGCCCAGTTAACATTGTGTACATGGATGATTAAACTTATTTGTTGATTGTGCTTGCGATGTATGACTACACTGTTGGGTGAGCACTTGAGCCTGCAACCTCCGGCAAGAAATGTCTGCGGCGCGCTAGTAGTGCGCATGGCCCTGTTAGAAATCAGAGCAGCACATGTATATGGCTGTGGGTCGAAAATAGGTACCCAAAATGCAACCCTGGGTAAAACCACGGGCGAAAACCTGCGGTCCCTTTGTGGTTTAGTTTTGACCCATACCCATATATATATATATACACCTATTATGTCAGAAGGGCAGCTGTAGTCCATGGCCACCCCTTCCATTTCAGCTACTCAGTCGCATGGCGAAGGAGCGACTTCCGTCGCATTTGACAACCTTCGAGGGGAACGAAAACGAAGTTGACCCGAGTTTTCATTTGACTTGAAGCCAGGGCTTGCGCCCTGGTACTCGGAACTTGGTGGCTTAAACCTGAAGCCGCGCTGGTACTTGGAACTCGCCCTCCGAATCCTTGACCCTTCCGACCCGGTCCGATCTCAGCCTGAGGCTTTGAAGCAGCAGGAACAGCGGCAGTGGTTCCGTGGGGGACCTTGACATCCGATTTGCAGCGTCGTTGGACTCCGAGTGACGTGGTCTCACCTGGAGTATACGTCGAGGTCACCCGGGGATTCCTTTTTTACGTCCTTGTGACTCATAGGAAGACTACCCAAGTAACTGAAGTAACAAGAAGTCTACAGGAGGTCAACCCAAAGCACTCAAAAATACGGAAAGCTAGTTCTCGAGGTGCCCTGGAAAGAGGGTTCCAGGAACCTCCAAAATCGACCCATTTGGTGGACCCGTTTCTGCCTCAGGGGACTTTGGGGCGGCAAACGGTGACAAACTCACGGAGATACAGGCGGCCCCAGAATGGGTAGCTTCGGATGAATCCGGAGGACCAGGCGAATCGGGGTATCTTAAGAATTCCCCGACAATATTCATGTAAAGACATATGCGCACTGTTTCATGTTGCGTGGATTATTGGTATTGTATGGTCCTCAGGATTGAGCCAAAGTTTGAATTGGCGGCGAAAATGGTCAAAGTTTGGCCCAGCAAGTACTACTGAGGGCACAGGTGATTCGTTCAGGGGGGTAGGTCTTGGCGGAGATCTGGGGTCTGCCAATGGGGTCGGAGGAAAATGCCAAGAAGTAGGATTCGGACAATCCAAAGGTGTCGGGCCTCGGTGTTTGTTGCTCGTGTTTTCCGTCCAGTTGAATTTGGGGCCGACTTCGGAGGGTGTCGAATGGGGTTTGTTTGCTTGTTGGTATTCTGCCGGTTTGGGTTGGCTTGCTGGCACAGTTATAGACCAGTGTTTTTTGGCGGCATTTGCAGCACATTGTGAACCCCACGGGTTGCCCAACCCCCCCCCAAAGAAGTGGAAGAGAGGTTTGCAAGCCCAACAGGTTGTGTTGGCTGGAAGCTGTACTCTGCAGACAAACATGGACCCCAACATACATCATTTGCGCAGCCTTCTTTTGCGATACCCCCTTGTTGGGGTTCCATGTGAATTGGGTGTCAAGTTTCCTAGATATCGAAAGGGGAAGGAGAACCGCTGAGGCAAGCAAGTGACCGCCTTCCAGAAGAGGCGTGGGGGTTGAATCTGCTTGCAAGGTTGAAAATGCCGGGTTCGCGCATTGCTGGTGTCCAAAATTGGGCAAGGTGGGATCGCAATGTTTTTCCACTTCACCTTCAAATGAATCGCAACAAGAACCGGCCTGGCTATCAAGAACCAGCTGCCAGCAAGCTTCCAGTGCCCCTGGATACCATTATAGTGGGTACCCAGGAAACTATCATCTAGATTGAACTGGTGAGGAACCATATCTTTTCGCATTTCAAGGATGGACGAGTGAAGATCGATGGGCTTTAGTTCGACCGGCTGGACCCCCCGTTTGGCGTTTCATTTTTGTAGCCGGGAACCGCCAACAGCACAAAAGGAGCAGAAGAAGGGAGCCGGCCTGCCACTGAACGCCAAGGGCATCACAAGAAACGGAGCATACTTTGACTAGGTCCCCCAGTAGTGCCCTTTCTCACCCTTTTTTGGTTGGGAGGGTTCCCCTACTAAAATAGACGTCCTGAAAAAAGTTGGTACCAACTTATTCCAACCTCTCAACTACCTAGTTGATCTCCCATCCACACCGAAAAGTCGCTCGCCTATGCTATGGGAACCCGATCCAGCGAGGATGGGCATGAAGAAAGAGGAGGGCACCCGCAAGGAGGCGGTCGGCAGCCCAGAGAAGATCACGGCTCGGTTTTGGGGCAGCCGAAATGCGGCTGCGGTTTTAGAGGTGTTGCTTGGAAAATGGAAGCTGAAAGGAAGCCCACCACATCCGGGACATGTAAACAAAGCTGGTGGCTTCTGTTGTCAAGCAGAAATGAGCGGTCCCTTGCGCTCATGGGACTTGCAGGCTTATTGCACCCATTTGGGGGGGGGGGGGGGAGCTTGTTTCTCGAGGGAGGCAATGACAAACCTGTCAAGAAAGGTCGCAAGGCCGCAAGGCATTATTGTTCTCCCTGCCTTGGGCTTTCTTCCGCGGTTGGCCCGTTGGCATTGAGGCTGAAGCAACGGGTATTGACCAGAAGTCCACCATGAGATTATTCTGGGCAACATGAATCGTGACCTGCCTTATTGGGACCTCAGAATGACGAGGACAGTTTTCTTCTCGGGTGCCGTTTCTTTGCCAGGTGAAGCATCACAATTCGCACGGAAAGAGGGGGTCCGTTGTTGGCCTTATTGTTTTTGTATTAACGGACTCGAGTCTGAGAGTCTGAACATGTCATTCATCAACCCTGGGTTCCCGTTCACCAGGCCTTCAGCTGGGGATGCTTTCCCCTACTGCGCTCTTTTTTGGAGGCTCCGAGTCCATGGTTCATGTTGAACGATGTTTGATCAGTTGACCCGGGGGTTGATACCAGGGGTGCAAACACCCAGACCTCACGTGGTGCCCTTTGTCCATGTTGTTGGGGACTCTGTGCCCCGGAGGGCTGGGCAAATGGACGTATACATACGTATACATCTGGTGCGACTGCATAACCCATGCTCGTGAATTTCCTCCGACTGAAGGAAACTAAATGGGGATTAACTTGTTAAATGGTCCAGACCACCGTATTATGCCCCAGGCTCAGCCTTTTCTACACCATCCAATGGTCCAAAGGTTCATACATTATGCTTGCAAGAGCGTGACCTGCTGCCCCGAATGATCGGAAGCCCAGCTTGGCGCACATTTCAGCTTGGCGCAGATCGAGTGCTCCGAAACAAGTACCGCAGCCGATTGGCGGAGAGCCTGGCGCAAGCCTTGCGCCAACTTCGTGAAGTCGGCTTAGAGGGCATCACGTCTGCAAAGGGCCCCAACGGTGCGGCTCCGCAGGACATCGACAGCGAGGATGCTAAGGGAGGTCTTGATGTTTGCGAGCACTTGCAATTTGGGAGTTCGACTAATTTGCCCAGATCTACAAAAGGGATAGATAACGTCATTGATGAGTCCAGTATATACCTTCTGTGGGGAATTATTGAATAAGGGACTTGGGGGCCTCCCCAGCCCCCCTCCCTCAAGGTAGGAATGCATGTTTCAGAAGTTTAATAGTTATCCAGATACATGCGAAGCACTAATAGCTTACGTATGCGTGGGACTGCCCCTTTAAACTCAACGACAACAGCCAGAGTGCCTTGATTCCCTGCGGCTGCCGGAGGGTGCATGAGCATTGCGAAATTTGTACTATCAGCCACCGTGGTAAAGAGGATGAATCCAATGGGTGCACTCACCAGATTGTGATCACGGAATTGAGTTTTGTTGGTTACCATTATGATCATGAATGCCTGTACCCCAAGTCCGCCTACCCCCTCCCCCCGCTCAGAAAGGTGGTTAGGTCCTATCCCTCAGTAAGGTAGTTGGCTGATATCAGCATTTCCCCTATGCCTTCCAAAGATGAACCTAAGAGACCCCTTGATTTTGATTGGAGATTCGAGCTGTGCTACTCCGTCGAATCCCCCCCAAGCTTTCCGAGCCTAGGGAATTCATCAGAGATTCTTATTGCATTTTCCGAAAGAGAAGCCCTTTAAGCTGCAAGGGGCTAAAGGAGGGGGCGGTGACCAGGGGGAAGCATCGAAAACCTATCGCCAAATTTGCACCGTGAAGATTGGAGAGTCACGGTCCGCAGCTTGACCTCCTCCCCAGTGCTTCCAGTTGCCATTGTAAATTCTAGGCAACCATGCAGAACCAACATCTAAAACCTAGATGTCAGGAACTCTGTTACCTATATAGTGGCACCCGGAAGCACTGGGGTTCATTTGGACCCCGTTTCGGAGGTCCAGAAGGCGAAGGCGGAGGAGGTGGCAGTGAAGGTCAAGGAGCACAAGCGCCGCGCGCACCTCAACCCTCCGACTCACCGAGCATGCAAAGGGGCCAGCGTCAGACAGGGGTTCTTGAACGCATTCCCTACTGAGCACCAGCAAGCAGTAGGGAAGCCGAAAGTAAGTGCTTAGTGTTTTTTTTGTGTTTTCAAGAGGTCGGTTTTTTCTCCGAATTTCAATTGTGAATCGCGCACGTCCCGAGTTCCTGGACTTTAAGCACTTGTTGGGTTTGGATCATTTTGGTGGTTGATTTAAACAGATTGACCTGCTTTTTGCCAGTCTAAACACTTTTTGGGCTTGGATCATCTTGGTAGTTAAATTAAGCAAGTTGAGCTCTTTTTTTTGGCCAGTCTAAACACTTTTTGAGCTTGGGCTAGTTTAGACAGTTTGAGCCTTGTTTTTATGCCAGTCTAAAAATAATCAACCGTTTGAGCTTTGCTTTGGCCAGTCTAAGCACTCTTTGGGCTTTGATATATGCTTGGTACATCTTGGTGGCTAATTTACACAGTTTGAGCTTTTTTGTGGCCAGTCTAAAACACTTTTTGGGCTTGGATCAGCTTGGTGGTTAGTTAAAACAGTTTGAGCTTCCTTTTGGCCAGTCTAAAACACTTTTTTTGGCTTCGATCATCTTGGTGGTTAATTTAAACAGTTTGAGGCTTTTTTTGGGCCAGTCTAAGCACTTTTTGGGCTTGGATCATCTTGGTGGTTAATTTAAACAGTTTGAGCTTCTTTTTGGCCAGTCTAAACACTTTTTGGGCTTGGATCATCTTGGTGGTAAATTTAAACAGTTTGAGCTTCTTTTTGGCCAGTCTAAACACTTTTTGGGCTTGGATCATTTTGGTGGTTAATTTAAACAGTTTGAGCTTTTTTTGGCCAGTCTAGAAACTTTTTGGGCTTGGATCATTTTGGTGGTAAGAAGAAACAGTGATCGACCTTTTCTGGCCAGTCCACTCAGGAAATGAGAAGTTAACCTGGGTCTGCAATGTGAGTTTACAAGAGTTTCCATTTGAATCAAGGCTGACTGAATAGGACATAGAAGTGGAACGATTCGAATTTGCTGCACCCTGGGGATGGGCCAAGTAGCGGGGGCTTCCGTTTTTCGACCTTCAATGGTTGCTTGGTTTTGTTGCCTCCCCTCTTTTCAAGCCCCTAAAGTGTTCTGAATCTGGGAGTTGGAATCAGAAACTCCCACCCAACCTGTGCGGAATCCCTCCCAAAAAGACGGGTCAGCCGCAATTAATTAAGCCAGCGATACACGGGGCTTGCCTTTGATAGCACTGGGCATCACAGACCCCAGAGTGCTTTTTTGTTTGCGCACAGGCCAATGTTTTGTTTCGCAGGTAAGCGCGGGCAATGCAAAGCCATAGTGTGCGAGACGGCCTCCAGAGAGCTTTCCAAAGATGCGTGGTTTTGTGTAGCATGGCAGTGAAGTCAGAAGGTTTGTCACAGAATACCTGCATATATCCCAAAGTGTGACGCTTTGCCAAGGTCAAGCTGGTCAACTGATGTTTGCCAACGGCTTTTTTGGCAATCAAACGGCGTTTTTTGGCAATCAAACGGTTCACGCAAGTTTTTTGAATATTCGCGAATTGCTCCAACGACGTTTTTGGGCACCAAGCGCGTTTGTTTAACTTCAATCAGTGGCGGAACTTCGGCGCCCTGGGCTTTCCAGGCATGATAGATTTGTAATTCTGCGCGCAGCAAGAAGCTGTTGATGCATGGTTGGACCTGACAAAGCTTTGGAAGCACGTAGCGCTCTGAGGGTTTCTGCTTTGCGCCAGCTCAAACAGGCATGCCTTCTCAAATGCGTGATTTCAAGCCCTACGTTGAACAGCCAAAGGTGAAAGCGCCGCGCAGCTCAGCTTTTGTTGGTCTGCTCAGCAATTGTACTCTCCACAATGCTTTTTCTGCTTGGGCGTCTATTCTCTTACCCTTGTGGTTTCTGTGGGCCTTGTTGCCTCTTATTTGGCCAGTTGCTGGTGCTTCTAAGCGCCAGAAAGGAACGCCGCCAAACGCTATCGCCGCAAAGCTGGAATTGAAAAGCCCTACAAAGATATATTTGCTATGGCCGCCCAGCTCCAAGCACATTGGCGCAGACGCATTTAGCGTGAAACTATCAACCGAACTTTGTGTTTTCCGGGACACTGGGTTGAACAGGCTCCCCACAACAATCTTACAAACAGCGCCCGGCTCAAGATACGCAATGCTGAGGTGTTACAGAAAACGCCGTGATTTCTGGAGTTGCCCCCTCCCCCCCCCTCCCTAGGCTCAATTCTGAGTCCACGTGTCCATTGTTTTCCATTGGGGCTGTTATAGCAAAGGAAGGGGGGTGGGGGGGCTGGTGGCCGGATTGCGGCGTTTTCTGTAACACGCCAGATTTTTGAAAGGCTCTAGGCTGAGCTGCCAATTACTTCCCCCTATCAAGAATGCGCTCTATCATTAATTTGTTTTTCGCGGACCCCTCGTCCAGACCTGAACTTATTAGCTCTCCAAACCAGGTTTGACTTACGATTGCATTCACGTTTGAATTATCGAATTGCAAATTCAAATCTAGAGTGAGCAAATCAGATTGAACTGCGCCGATTTGTTTTGTTCAAGTTCAATATCAACAAAACTGCCTTGAGCGGTTTTCTTTTAAATCGCCAGTGGACATATTGCTGTCTAAGGCGTTTGTGCCAGGTGGCACCCTGCAGCGCCCTTGTGGTACCCTATCAATAGTTTTTGTTGCCCCAGGGAATATTGATTAAGAGGGGGGAAGGGGGGTACCCCATTTATTGCTATGGGGAAGCCGTTCGCCAAGGCAAAGCTCAAACTAGCATGAGCCTCGCAGCAAAAACCGAGCACGAGCCGGGCACGAACCGGGCACGAACCGGGCACGAACCAAACACGAACCGGGCACGAACCGGGCACGAACCGGGCACGAGCCGGGCGCGATCCGTGCGCGGTCCGTGCGCGATCCGTGCACGAACCGGGCGCGAACCGTTTACGAACTGGGCGCGAACCGGGCACGAACCGGGCACGAACCGGGCACGAACTGAGCACGAACCGGGCATGAGCCGGGCACGAACCGGGCACGAACCAGGCACGATCCGTGCGCGATCCGTGCGCGATCCGTGCGCGATCCGTGCGCGAACCGAGCGCGAACCGCGCACGAGCGGCACGAACCGGGCACGAACCGGGCACGAACCGGCACGAACCGGGTGCGATCCGTGCACGATCCGCGCGCGATCCGTGCACGAACCGGGCTCAAACCGGGCACGAACCGGGCACGAACCGGGCACGAACCTAGCGAGAACCGGGCATGAGCCGGGCACCGGGCCGAACCGGGCACGATCCAAATACGAGCCTCCCAAACAGAGCGCCACCTGAGCACAACCCAAGCAGCACGAACAGAGCGCGAGCCGGCAGAGCAGAGCACCAATTGAGCACGAACCGAGCACTAACCAAGCACAAGCACAAACCGAGCGCGAAGCGAGCACGCTTAGGGTCGCAACCCTACCTAGCTCGGTTGTGAGTTTCGAGCATAAATGCTTGTTTGGTTTTAAGAGGCAGGCTGCCGTAAAGCCTTGCCGCGTGGAAATATCGTTTCCGAATTCACGCGCAGATGAAAAGCACTCCTGGCCCCGTGTGCAAAGGCGAGCCCCGATACAGCGATAGACGCCACTAGGAGCCGCTTTCGGAAACATTTGTGCACATTGGCTGGAGACAGGTTTCAGCAAAGGCTACAAAGGCTGCCGGGGGCGGCAAGATACGTTGAGTCCAATTTTGGGTGACTTGCACAGCTGTACGTTCACAAGCTCTGGGCAAAACCAACGGAACACCACCAGGGGACAGGGACCGCCAAAGTACCGCCAAAAACACAACCGGCATACGAACGGGACATTACCAAAACATCACCAAAACCCGGACCACCAAAACCCGGACCAGCAAAACACGGACACCACCAAAACCCGGACACTACCAAAACACCACTGGAACACCACCGGGACAAAAGCACAACCGGAACACCATCGGGGCACCACCAAAGCACCACTACTGGAACACCCCCGGCGCCGCAAAAACGCAATTTAAGACCAGCGGGACACCATCAAGAACGCAACCGGGACACCAAAAGCACCACCAACCGGGACGCCCTTGGCACACGCCCGGTCGCGGTTCATACCCATACTGCGGAGCTGGTACTCGGATGTTTGAACCTGATCCAGCTTAAGAGGCGGCCAAACGGGAAAACCTTGTTGTATGTTTTGGTGCATTTTGCTTAGCTTCTTGGATGTTAGGACTTGAACGTTTTGCCAACTCAGGGGCTTTCCATTAAACCACTAAAAGTTGATTAAACTGTTTGCTGGGGAGCAGAAAGCAACCGAGTATGTCTGAATTTCAATACGGGACTTAGCCTGGTTCCCACTTTGTACTTGTGGATTTCCTGCCTGCCTCTCACCAGCGAGAAGTTAACTTCTTGGCGTCTAAGTCAGGCCCAGATTCGAAGACGGCCTCATCCAAATGAATGATGATAAACCCTTCTCGTGGAAGAGCGCAACTGGTACCTTAAGACGGGGCTTCTTATTCAACCCTAGGCATGCAAGAATGTCGTTCGGTTTCAAAGCCATCTAACGAGGATGTTCTCAAAACAGGTGCCCGTAGAAATACGTGGTTTCCCCGTCAGCCGGGTCAACTCATGTATGTTTGCGGGAAATCATTGATTTTTGAGGTTGGCACTTCTATGGTATTCTCGGGGAACTGCCCTTAATTTATGTGAACAAGTTGCCAGGGTTGGAATGGTTGGATGGGAAGCCTAATTTGGTTTCGCAGAAGGGGCTACTTTCCTACAATCACGCACCCATGCACCCATGTGTACGCCTGTCACCCATAATTAGTGGTCCCAGCTTGCACAGGGCCAAAATTTATCCGAAGGGGACGCCCTTTTTTGTCGCGCACGCCATATTTAACGGCAGTAGAAAGGGTTCATTGCAAAAGGGTATCCACACAGCGGCAGGCTTGGAGTCCCTTTTGGTGTTTTCCCCCGGTGTGACGCAGGGTCAATCCAAGTTCAGTGGTGATTTTACGAGTTCAACTATGTCAGTTTGCGTGTAGCCTCCTGAGAATCTTTACGGCACATCTCATGGTGAGCAAGCTACCTAGGGAATCTCTTCTGTTTCCGACCCGTCTCATACAACAGTTGCTACCTTTCGTTCACCCCCTCAAGTAAGTAGTTGTAGTTATAGCCCTTTACTCCCAAGACATATTGTTCACCTTTGCGTGGAGCAGCCTGAGGCTTGGAGTGGCAGGCGGAGGTTGAGCGTGTGCAACCCCCCGACGCAGAGGCGGCCGTTGGGCTGTTGACCTGTAGGCTGTTGGGTGGGGATGTGGACCGTGTGGATATGGCTATGAATCTTAGTAAGGGACCCTTTGGTGGACATCATTTAGGTGGGGATTCATGTCCACCAATCACTTTTGAGGTGGTTGCCTATTAAAAATTCATGGCCATATGAATCCAGCATTTTGCAATGGACTTGGGCTTTGGTTATTTATTTGGGGTTTATGTTAAAAAGCGAGAAGTGTGGCGGCAGGCAGGTCTCTGGCCCTGCCTGCCGCCACATTTGTCGCTTTTCCTTTCAAGCCATTGGAGCACGTCCACCGGTGTTGGCCTTGTCCGTGCCCCGAGTACGTGTTTTAGGAAAGAACGACGTGCTTTGGGACAAGGGAAAACTTGCGTGATTCTGCAACGCGTTATGGGTTGCAACAAAGCGCGGCTCATGACCCAAGAGGCAAGCGACATTAGCCATTGATTTGTTTGTCGTTGCCAAGCGGCAGAGTCAAACCTCCTCGAAGCTGAACATTTGCGCGACGTGACAGACTTAGTCGGGGGATTCCATCATGACAACCCGGCTCTCGTCAAGTTGGGCTTTGCTTGGTGGTTCACCAGGAAGACTGCTACAGTTCACCTGCCCATATCTGGCATTTCTTACTTGCGGCCAGCTAGCTTCTGTATCATATGTGTGTTGGGGAAGATCATATTGTATGAGAGCGGCGAGGGCTTGGGGACGTTTCTTGCTTTAGCCCGACCAAAGTGTGCTTCGTGATGTTGTTGCGTGGATTGCAACTCTTCCAAAATGTCTTAGAGATACAGTGTAATTAGGAGCAACACATGGCTGGAAAGATGAGTCTGGACGTTTCACATGGCGTGCAAGGACATCCATCCCTTCCAGTTGCCGGTGCGGGTTTGTGTCAAAAAGTTGACTCCAACATGCTTTGCTTCCCTGCTTTTCCTTCCCGTCAAAGGCAACCAACCAGGGTTTCCCAAAATACAACAATTCGAAACACATGTTGCCTACTAGAAAGCGAACCAAGCAAGGTTTCCCAAAAGTCGCAAACATCATTTGTCGACCCTCAAAGCGAACCAACAGACCAAAGACGTCTCCATACTTCCCACGTCCAGCGTCTCGAGGCGGACATCGACACCGGCATTTCGGTGAGCCTCACTGTGTGAGCCAGATCCAGACGGCCTCTTCTCCAGAAATTAGCAGCGCTTTGATACGTCAAATGCTACTTGCACCCTCTGGGTTTGGATTCTCCACCCTGAAAGCAAATATTGCACCAGCGGAATGCAAGGTTTGAAGGGGGAGAGATCTAAAAGTGATGTCCAAGGCTTTGAAGGTGCTGACGATGACTTCGGCGACTCCGCGAATATGCTCACAGATCTGGCGCGCACGAAGAGCCTGGTGATGAGGAACTGCAGCCTGACCCTGAAGATCTGGGAGTCTTGACAGTCTTGAGCATGGATGATCCGTGCTCCGAGAAGACCCGGATGTCGCTTGGAGATCAATGGCTATGGTGCTGGTGGCGAGCAGAGTGAGTGCACAGATTGGAATCGTAGAGAGGCAGCGAGTACGGCTGATTCCCTAAAAAACAACAACAAGTGAACCAGCCAAACAAAAATCACGGCATTTTTTTTGGCGGGCTCCTTGCCAAGCCCGCTTGCAACCTGGGAATCCACCGCCTCTTGTGGCCATGAGACGTTTCTTCGACGCGTCTAGACGTAGCTCGTACCGAGATGAGCTCTCAGCAGTCCGAGCGGAGCGTGGAACTTGCAGGTTTCACCCAGATGTTGCGTAGGTGTCCTTCAAAGACTGGGGGAAACCCAAAAACCCAACTTTGGCTGTACATAGGCACTCGGCTTTCACTGCTTCCATGAAGCCAAATGACCGGTAGCTCTCGGATGCTTGCAGGGCATAAAGCTATGATAAGTGAGAGTTGCTGCCACAACGCAGGAGGTGTTGTCAGATGCTAAGCTTAGCAGACAATATTGGAGTTGTGTAAGATAGAATTGAGAATAATATTGGGAGAAAGACGCGTGGACGCATGCTGGTGTTTTCCTGACAAAGGTAAGCCGCGTTCACGATGTGCTTGTTTTTGCTTCCCCATTCAAAGCCCGGTACTCCCCATTTAGGAAAGATCCAACGGAGGAGTGGTTCAGGCGTCACTGGGAGCACAAGTTGTCTGCCCATGTTCGCAGGTCCCAACCATGTATTTTTGGGTAGGTGCCCATGCCAAATTTCACAAAAGCTCAGATCCACAATGGGTACCATAAAGGTATATCGCCATATTTCCCAGCGGGATATCAGGGGTACCTGCCCAGGGGCACGTGGTTTGGCCCCTAGACATGTCGAACAAGGGGCCTATGTGGGAGATTCCTTGCTCCAGGTTTCAAGGGTGCCTTGGCGCGGTCTCTGAAAAGCCGAGGTCTCGGATGCAGACACCCCGTCAGCACCTCGCCACGGGTCCCTTGAAATTCTCAATTTCAGATGACGTCTCGCATGAATCGCCCGGGTGAAGTATACAATGGCCAAAAGCAGGATGGCACAGTTGCGAACCATCTCGCATGAACACGGCAGCCATTCGGATTCGGACACACGGTTCAAATCGGTTCAAGCTATGAGATGAGTTGAAGTTGAGTATTCTGACCGCGAAACATGTCAAAGATCCCTCAGGTTCTTGGCTTGCCGATTCCTAGTTTCCAGTCGATCACTGTCACTACAAAATTTTGCTTGAGCACCAGGTTGAGCCCCACAGAATGCCATTCAGATCCTATCCTTGACGTAGATCGACATTCTTGCGCGAAGCCTGCGTTAACTCAGTTGTCCCAAATTGAAGCGACTTGTTACCCTCTTGCTTTCCCACTTTCTCAGCATGAGGAGTCGGAGTATCAAAGATATCAACAAGTGATGGCCTTGGATTCCCAGTCCTTTGGTTGTGATTGCAAGCCGCATTGATCATAGAAAACCACGGAAACTCTGGAGGAAGTTCGCCCAACGTCTTGTCTGGCGGGTGCTTGGCTAATTTCCAGTAGTTAAATCCGGTCGCTGGTTTCTAGGAACAGGGTCTCGGCTTTCCGCGGCATGGCGCTATGCTGCGGCACGGCCCTGGTTTTACAGGCAGGCACCGGCGCGGCTTCGGTTGTGATTTACTTCCCAAAGCAGGAGGCACCCAAAAAGGAGATTGCTCTAACAGTTAAAGATGTTAAAGCAGATGACTTTGCGTCCAAACTGGAGAAACCCCTCAAGGGCTGGTTTGTTGCAGTCAAACCAGGAAGCCGACCAATTTCTAGGGCCCCGCTAGTTCTTGTTTCGGATTGTTCCATGACGTGAACTCCTGGGTTTCCCTCTTGGGGCAACCGCTCCCTGGTTTCAATCGAAGGCCGAGCAATCCACAACATCGGACTCTTGGGACTGAAAACCCTACGTCGGACCATGTTGGACCGGTGCAAGACTCAGGGATCCATGTCACGGACCCGTTGACATGGGACGTGTTTGGTCCATGAAGTGTGGCTTCCGCAAGATGCCAGATGGTTCATTCCGCAAAACCCTCAGACGAGTCCTGGCTGTGGACAAGGAAAGCAAAAGCTTGAGCGGGATGTGGCGCATTCCCCCGGCAGCCTCAGATCATAACTTTCATTAAACAATTTGGCACACTCAAAACAAGCTTCCAAGACCTGGATTGCGGAGCCCTTGCGTTTTTTTTGTAGTCGGTACAGGGGGCCCTCAAAGCCTTCAAAGTGTGGTAGTGTTGTACGTTCCTTTACATACACTCCAACAAAGATTCACTTTCCAAATCCCCCCAACGGGATAATCGACCATTGAGCTCCTGGGTATCAACGGCGCCAAGTACTGCCTTGTTCAACACCATCCGTGAGTCTCTTCGGGGGTTTCCTTAATTAAGAGCCGGACAGCCATTTCCAAGGAAAGCACGACTGAGCCAGGCCAGGATGAGCCGCAGGCGAGGTGCTCCCGAAGCAACACGTTACATCGAAAACCCTGCAAAGCGCAAGGGGATCTGAAGGGGATCCAGGGATCTGGGGGATGTCGGGGATTTCCTCATTTTGTTGTTTCCTTCTTTGTTGCAGACCACGTTCCCTGGTTTCCAGGTGGTCTTCTGGACAGGGTTGGGCAAAGTTTTTTTATGACCAGACAATAGCCCCTCACAAAGGAAACCAGCGGAGGTTGCTTAAACAATTACTCTGTGTTTGAACGTTTTTAAGCAAGGGGTCAGCCCTTGTGTCTATACCTCCTGAACGGTCTTGGCGCCGGAGTTAGTTCGACCCCTGGAATTTCAACATTCCATGCCAATTTCCCTTTTGTTGGTATGAGAGTATATTTGCGCGACCTCCAGTGGGGTGTCCCCTTCCTTCAACATGTTTTGAGAGCAGTGGTCGGGTGTCTGAATTTGACGTCAAATCCAAGAAAAGGGTGCCCCAGGTGGCTGATCAAAAGGGGTATTTTCCAAAGAATCGGATCAGTTTGAGAATTTGCCCCCCTGGCAACAATCCACCGATTCAGCTGATGAATATGGGGCCCACTTTCTGGAGTGCGCGGAGCGAAGCGAAGATTTTTGCTGTTGAGGGCTGGGGGTACCCTTGCAGGTTGGTTTCAAGGGAAGCCAAACAGACATTCCCATCGCCCAAATGAGCCAAATATGTTTTTGGGACACTTGGGCCGGAATGCCAAGCAGCCAACGGGTAGGCCCGAAAGGGTGCGTAAAACGATACGCCAGATACGCACATTACATTATGCTCCAGATTCATCCGACGATTCAGGCCCATCCTCAAAAAGGCTCATTTTGGCATGTTTTGCCAAAATGAGCCCCGCTGTCCAGCTTTGTCAACCTGCAGCTTCTGGGAATGTTGCATTGAGTGAGTCCCCAAGTGACGCCGATGGATTGGGGCTTGCCCCCGGCTTGGCGGGGTCGCTGCCCGCAAGTTCTGGTTCCTTGTTTTCTCTAGGGTGCCCTACACAAGCATGGAAATGCACAACCCCCTGAAAAAAGAGTATGTTTCTAAGGTATGTGTACTTCCATGTTTGGCGGGAGGGTCAAATGAGCCCTAGCAGAGGGCCGACCTCCCGTTGAAACATGGTTAAGCACTCGATAGGATGATCGTCCTGTGGTTTCCCAGCAAACAACTTTCCCAACGATGGCACCCTCGACAAAAGCACATAGTCATCCTGATTCAGGTTTTCCTTTGAAGGGGTCCGCGCTGTGATTGATCTTGACTCAAAGCTGTGGAGGTGCTTCAGACAAGGACCCTCAAGGGTTACAGGTCTGTCACCTGCACGGAGAGAAGGCACCCCAACCAAGCTCCCTAGTTTCGAGGATCCTTTCACGGGCCCCCACTCTGTAGCATTTATGGTAAAGTGATCTATTGACACGACGGGCCTGCCCACTCCGCTCTAGCTAAGCCATAATCAACACCTGGGTAGAGGAAGGTAAGTTTGAGAGAGCTCAAACCATATCCGGCCGCCTTTTTGAGAACATTTGCAGCATTTTAGGTACACAACCTTTGAAACCAGGTGTTGAGTGTGACCAACCTCCACTTGTTGCTTATGCCTCAATTCAGGTCGTGGGTCTTCTCAGACGTAGAGACTCGCTGTTGCTTGTGCCTCTCAAAGGTCCTAGCCAAAATGAACATCCCCCCTCAAGTCAATGGCCATGAATGGATGGAGACGGGTGAAAGAGGCCCCATCCAAGCGTGTTCTTGTCGGGTATGCAAGTAGGATTTTCGTAACCATTTCGTTTCTGGTTTGCCTATAATGAAAGCACAACACTCAACAACAAGTTCTCAAAGCAGGCAACAAAAACACTCGTATCTCAGAGTTTGCTTGCTGCGCAAGGGTTGGTGCATAGATTTGGGGATGTGATCCAAGCTTACCCCATGCTTTTGTTCTACGTGGCTTGGATGCGATGGTTCCAGGCGTTGGGTCTGGGTGACCATTGGCAGTGGCCCTCGTGTCCACGTCTCAGGCCCCAGGCAGCTGGGTGCTCGGAGCCCTGCTCTCAGAGGCCGCCGCCGTGCTGACCACGCCCAGCTCTCAGCTCCGCATCGGGGCATCGGGGCATCGGGGCATCGGGGCATTCGCGTTTTTGGGGCCGCCGGTTTTTTGTTTTCGTCAATGTGTGTGTTCGGTATGTTGTATTTGTATTCTTGAAACGGCCCTGTTCACAAAAGGTTGATGGTCATTTCGTATAGGTTGATGATCATTTTCAGCTACCTCCCTATCAATAGTCCTAGGGGTAACTTCCCCATTCTTTCCAGGGATCCTTCTTTCTAGAAAACCGCCAAAAGCTCGCTGGTTTTTGAAAAGAATGATGGCTGAAAAGAATGGGGAATCAACCCCTAGAAATGTGCATTTTCACAAAAGGTTGATTATCATCACTGACGAATGCAAGGTTGATGATCATTTTCAGCTACCTCCCTACCAATACTGATCAGTTGTTTACTGAGTGCAAGGTTGGTGATCAACCCTTCGAATAGGTCAGACACCTATCCGCTTTCGCATTGGTCACGACACCAACAGGAACTTGATCTATACTCCCGCAACTCCTGCGTGCCCCCAGACCCCACCCAGCGCCTTTGCAGCTTGGGTAGTTCCTCCGCTTTCTGGCTGTCTACTTCTGTCGCAAATTGCAGCTGGTTGGGAGTACATGCTTGAATTTCCCGGAAATTCAAACAAATGGGAAGCAAATTGTGGCATTTGAGGCAAAATTGCTTTCACTGAGAAACAAATTGAAACCATTCAGAGGCGTTCTTTTTGAAGATGTCACCTTGTCACTTTAGACCCGGGCTCCTGATTCCCCTCCCACGGTTGATGTTCTCAATATTTTCGGTGCGCGGCATCTTCGTAGGTTTTGCTGGTATTTCACCGCTTCTTTTTCTGGGGAAAACCATTTTGAAGACCACCGCCAGGGACTAGTGACTGGTTCTTTTAGTTTAAACATGCCTACACACATGTTTCCGAATCTCCTGTTTCCTTAGGACAAAATTCCCGGGGGCTTGGGGCTGTTCTTGTTGATTGAATCCGCGCGGAAGTGCGGTGTCCTGTTTTCTGACAGGCACAGAGAGGCTTCTTGCGGCAGAACATTGGCGCATGAGAGGCACCGAAACCAAAGATCCGGAGCCTGGAGAGTAAAGAGTTGGCATGGATCACCTCCCACTGAATTTCAGAAGAGTTCTGCCATGAAATGTCTACAACGTGCTCAAGTAATCATGACATTCCAGAATCCTTTGCGGAGGCGCATCATATTGGTGGAATGCTTTTCTGCGCTGGAGGCTGGCCAACGTTTTCGCGCGAAGAGCCTTCACCGGATCGGAGCCTGGGGGCCCTTAGCTCAGCGGTTTGATGGCGGTTGCATTGCTCGAGAGTGTCTGGGTTCTCAAAATTAGGGACCCCTCCAAGTGGTTCGTTTCCGTTAGGTTTCAACCAAAAACAGCCAAAACGGGGGGTCCCTATTTTGAGATGTGTCTTTGTTCAGGGGACCCACTAAAATGGTGGTTTTCTCTTGGCTTTCCAATAAAAACCCTACCCAAAAGGGGTACCATGGATACAAAACAAACAGACCCAAATGGAGGATCCCAAACAATTTGGAGAATGTCTCATGTTGACTTTCAGGAACTGAGTTCTGGGCGTTTGAACCAGCTTGATACACACGGCAAATGTTGAACGAGATGCGTTCCTTCCGCTTCTAGGGGCGACTCCCTCGTTGTTTGCACGGATTATTCTGTTCAGGAAACGACCAAACCTCCATGGGAAGCGGCTGGCTTTGGAAAAGAGCAGTGGTCGCAAAGAATGGGGAGGCAACCCCTATACTCGTGGTTACGAAGTGTGGTCTTGGAGGCCACTCCGCTTGGGAGCCAAATGTTATCAAACTGTGCCAGAATAGTGAATAGAGCTAGTTGTGTTCAGTGTTGTTTTTGTTTATGACTGCCTGAGTTTTCTCTATCGTCAAATGGGTGGCATCATGACCCAGTGCCAGTGCCATGTGCATTCACATGGCCACGTGTTTTGCATGAAGATACTTCCAACCAGTTGGCATTGGCTACAAAGCACCAAGGTCAACGAAAGGGCTACGACCCACTTAAAGGCGCACACCTTTGATTGATGCCAAGGGATTCCACCTTTCGTGGCTGAAGTTTGAATCTTAAGAAAGGGCTACGTTCTTTGGTAAATCTCAGACCCACAGGACCTGGCAGGCTTGCTTAAAATCTGTTTAAACAACCCCCAGGCCCCCTTTAAAGGGAGACCAAGGAAGTTGTTGAAGGGCGGTTTACACATTCAACAAGGCCTGCTTGTGACTATCCTTTCGGGTTCCGATGCTTTTCCGATGGTTTCAATCCCTGGTTTCCTAGGCCAAAGGACTCCTAACCTAGGTTTTTCAGTGCCCTTTCTCAGCCTTTGGGGGAGGGTTCCCCTACTAAAATAGACTAGACAAAAAATGGTAGCCTTCTTCTAAGCTCTCTACTGGACCTAGCCAAAGAAAGCTAGGCCTCCACATGACGCGACAAGGTTCCTACTGATCTAGGGGTACCTTCCCCATTCTTTCCAGGGATCCTTCTTTTCAACAAACCAACGAAAACCTTGGGAACAGCCGTTGTTGAAAGGAACGATGGTTGAACACAATGGAAAAGGAATCAACCCCTAGAACTGAAACTGGAAGCACCCATCGCGTCGCCCAGGAGTCCCCGACTGGCGCCAAGCCCGCGGCGCTCCGCCCGGGGCTCGCAGCGCGCGGCTCAGTGACAAAGTGCTTGGAGAGGTGGATGGCGTCTCCGAGACAAAATGCGCGGCTGTTTATGTAGTACTACTGTGGATGCCGGTGACAGATGACATCACTTACTTCAGTTGGGCAATCCTTTCCCCTTGTGGCTAAAAAATTGACGAATTGGGGGACAGAGGCCCCCCGGTCCGTCCTCTTGGGGTAGCCAAAGACTAACAGTGTCCAGTCCGCTGATCCTAGCGCTCAAACGAGAAGTCCTTGTCTGTTTGACGGGGTCTGCTGAAACGAGGTCGGATGTTGCGTAGATTTCGGAGCTCGACTCCAATTAGAATCCTTGCCTCCCTACAGCATTCCAATTGGCATCATCCCAATGCAATAAATGCTACAGCATTCCAACCTGTACTTCCCTGAATTGGTATTATCCCAATGCAATAAATGCTTCAATATGCAATCAGGTGAGAGCATGAACCTGCCTGAGGGGTCGAAGGCCCGCAAAAGAACTCCAGCTGAAACTCAATAGCTGCTCCGTGGATTTTGGCAGTAAGGCATTCCAACTCCTAGCCTCTAAGACTCTTCCACAAACTTGGAGAAATCTGGGCACATGAAACAAATCCGAACAACAATCTAGAAATCTCTACAAACATCTTGACACATATAGACAAACTCGAGCACATTTAGCAATTTGGGTGGCCAAACGTCAAGAGCTGGCTTGTTTCCTTTTGCGGTTCGTTTTTAGCAGCAATCAGCGCATTAGTTAGCTTTGCAACTTTGAGACCAGCCAAGAGAAACATCACAGTTCCAGTCTGCAAAAAACATCGTGGAATCTACTCAGATTCCTCTAGAATCTAAACCAGGCCAAGCAACAAAGAGACCCCTAAATGGAAGCGGATACAAGTAGAATTCAAGATGCTACTGTGAATGGACAACATCCCTGCTGGATAGATGAAACCCTACGAATAGTGGGACAAACCACCTACCAACGGGTGGATTTTGTTCAGCCACATGACAAAACTTTCGGGGATGCGGAATCGATCAGAGGATTCGTTGTGGGAATCCCACGGCGAGAGAAACCCCCAGGCCCCGCCCCCCAACCACCAAGAAAAGCTTTCTCAGCTGTGCTTTGAACAGGGCTCCTTGAAAGATCTCCATTTTGCCACCAGTTGAAACATGTGGCTTTTTCAACACCAAAATAAAGTTGGAAACCGCCATTTACAAGTTGCCATGTTCAGGTGTATAATGCATCCGGATCCTTCTGTTGAAGGGGCTCTGTTTCAAAAATTCCCATCAAAGATTGGTCCAACTTGCCTAGCTGAAGGCAGCTCAACATGAGGATGAGGGAGTTGACAAGCTTTGCCCACCTTGGTTTTGTGGGGATTTGTTTGGACATAGAAAGGGAGCTCGACTTCCCACAATTTCACCATGGAATTCCAAGGGTAATTGAAGGGAAGGCTCCGCAAACGATGTTTTTTTGGATTCCATGTTTCAGCAGAGTACTCCGGAAATCCATCTGCCGAACCTATCTCTCGCTCAGCCCGACGGCGAGACCGAGCGAAGGGCGCGCTGCTCAGAATAAGCTCCGAGTAGAGTCCTTGGTGGCTCCCTCATGCCCATAGCGGTTGATATGTGAAATGTAGGGATTTGGCTTTATGATTGAGTGTAGAGGGATTTATGACACTCGTCTCTCAGTTTTTAGAGTTTAGAGTTGTTTTATGACATAACAGTTCCATTGGACGTTGTACTGATAGACAGGGATCAACATACCACCAAGAAAGGCACAAACAGTTCAGACGCCCTGCTGGCTTTTGCGTGTTGCCTTCAAAAGGGATATCGGAAAATAGGGTCGCCATTATGATTGTTTCGAACTCTTCCTTTCGGTGTTTCCGTTCGCGTCGATGTGAATGCAGATCGTGCACAGACAGGTGTCAGTTGGGGTCAAAACCCTTGATGCGTGTCAAGACCAATATGACATCTATTTTTGGAGAGGTCCAGCTGGTTCGGCACTACGGCACCTTTCTGGGTGTTTCCTGTTGTCCTCATGCTGAATAAAGCGCAGGACCCTCCTGCGGGTAGTGAGGCTGTGTGTGGTTTGGCAATGGACGCTGCAGTGAGCTGCTCTGTTTGACGTGCTTGGTACGGTGGACGCCCCACATTTTGCCAGCAAACCAACCACAAGCCATGATAATTTACAGGGGTTCCCTTGTTCCCTACTTGCAACATATAAAGCATTAAGGCATCCACAGTCCGCGGCAGCTCATTCTCAGGTTGGACAAGGCATTGAGCCCCACTCCCTATTGCCAACCAAAGCCAGCAGGGCCACCTCTGTTTTTTTTTGGGGGGGGTCATGCCGCTGTTTGGCAGCACTTGTCATCATGCCCCTCGCAAGACCTGCACGAGCGTTCTCAGACGACTCAAAGGTGGCGCCCTTGTGGGGAAAGCTAAGCCTTTGCCCTCTCGCACGATGGTCTGAGGCCTTGAGGAGTCGTGAGGGATCGCCATGTCATCGCAGCGTCGCAAGCACTGTTGGCAAGGACACAAACAAATCTGCCCTGGAACCTGCGCGTCATCTCACCTGCCTAGAATCATCCAGAGAAGCTGCCATGAACTCCTCAGACACTGCCCCAAAGGCCGCCCATAATCTGGGATTGGCGTTCTGATCTCGCGGCTGTGGTTGCTCGGGGCAAGCTTCAGTGATCCCAGTGAGTAGTGTGGGCAGACTTTGAGCTTCCAGGAAAGCCATTTAGAGGCCCACATCTCCGTCATCACCGGCAGCCATTGACCGTGTGCGGCGACGCAACTTACAAGATATGCTGTGAAGGCTGGGCCGTGGCTTCCATTGGGTTGTGCACCAAGCATGAAGACGCCAAGACTGGCCTGCCAAGCAGCGGTTTCCTGGCTGCTGCCTACTTCTGAATCCCGAAAGAGCATCACCAGTTATGGCAATCCTTCTTCATCACACTGATTGAGCTCACAGAGACGCGGCTTGGCCTGCAAATGGACCGCCTGCTGGACGAGCTAGATACTTGGACTCTAAGCCAAGAGATCCACCGCTTCCTCCAGGTATTGTTCGCAATTTTCTGCTGTTTGCATCCAAATTCAGGAGCCATGGGATCCGGTGAAACCGTCACTTCCTTTAAGGCCCCTTTCAAAACGCCGGCTTTTGGACGTTGGGAATGGGCCCGAGTCCGGCACAGGCATTATTCGCAGCTACCGCGCAGGCTGGCAGGGTTATGCTCCGGTCGGCATGTGGGTCAGCAATAGAACGATTCACCTTTGGGTGTGTGTGTGTGTGGGGGTGGGTGGGTGTTTGTGTGTTTGTGTGTTTGTGTGTTTGCGTGTTTGCGTGTTTATTTGTTCTGTGTGTGTGTGTGGGTGTGTGCCAAGCAAGTGGGACTGTGAACTTAATGGGTTTGGTGCCCGTTGGCAAATTGTACTGTACTATCTTTCTTGAACAGTTTGTACTTCCCCTGAAAATGATGATGGAAGCCCAACATAACAAAGGGCGTTCCGAACAAAGGATTACTTTCCTTCGATGGTATTGGCATGATCAAATGTATGCCTATGCGCCTGAAACTTGACATGGAACCCCAACCAACGGTCCCCCCAAAAAAGGCAAAACACAACACAATAACAACAACAATGAAAACCAACACGGATTTGAAACCCATCGCTCTGCGCGTTGATTTCCCACTGTTCAACCATTCTTTCTTCTGTTTGCTTGTATTTGTTTGGGTTTGCTGCAAAAACTGGGATCCCGGGAAAGATTGGGGAAGTTTACCTTCCTTCAAAGGAAATCACGGCGGGATGGATGTGACACCCTGCCGAGCTTCCCCGTGGTTCATCAGCAGGGGTCCTTTCTAGATTGCAATGAACAAATATATATATATATATATAGATCCACCCTAATCCAGCCGGCTTTAAGAACCGCCTGTGTGACAGTGAGTTAGGAGGGGCACCTTGGCCTCAGTTTTGTTCAATTCTTATTTTGCCCGGAACCTGCTTGTGTTGGTTGCGGAACGTCCTTAGCCATTTCAAACACCTGGTCCAACGTACGGCCTCACAACTTGGAATTCAAAGGATCTCAATGAGTGCTGCCACTTGTGGGCCAGGGAACCGTCATGCAACGCTTTCGTTTTCCGCACAGATACCATGCTAGAGCTCTGACTCTTGACAAGGATCAACGGGTAACGCATGCTAGTTTCAAAGCGAGTGTGACAATGCCAGGAAATGCAGCTGTTCAGTTAAGTTCCTTGCTGCCAACGCAACATGCGTGGACCGCATGGGCAGATCAAGAATGGCTGGCAGGGAGCGTTGACTTGGTTGCCAAGCACCTGATGCGCAGGTGTTCTTTCCAATCTCGGAAAAGAACGAAGAATTTGCCCTCCAAGTGCCCCAGTGCAAACGGAGATCCATGAAGCCTTGAAAGAACCAGCCAGAAGCCACAGGAGTGAAGCATGGGTTGCAGCTCAATGTATATGGTTACATTCCGGACAAGCATAGCCGAGGAACCAAAAAGCTTACCTACTGCAATGGGAACTGGAAGCACTGGCGGGGATTCCTGATCCCATCTCCAGTCTGTGAATGGCCCTTTGTCCAAAATTTGCCTTGTTCCGAGCCAAGTATTTGTGCCAAAGAGATTTGCCTCCAGCGGAATTTACTTTCCAAGTCCTTTCGGCCAGTGTTTCATTTCCGGATTACCCCTGTTGCTTCCCCTTTTGGGTGGAATCAACAATTTTCTGGGTTTCTGCGTCCACCGTAGTAGTCAAGTATGGGTATGTGTCGAATTCGGGGGACACCAGAGTGATTTTCTTTTTTGACGTCCTTCACCAACCCTAAAAGGGCACGCGCTGGAACCCATTTTTGTAGGCACCTGGTGGAGCTGGTGCCTGCTGAAGTGGGAGAAGGTCTCACAGCGCTGCTGGGACTTCCTCGAGGACGCCAACATCTGCAAAGGCGCGGGTTGGGTTCCCAGGACCATTTTCCCCTAGGATGCTAGGTCCCCCAGTGCCCTTCTCTCCCCTTTTTTGGGGGAGGGTTCCCCTACTAGAATAGACTACAGAGAAAAAATCGGGTACCCATCCCTTGTTCTAACCTCGCTACTGGAGGACCTAGCCTAGGATGGTTTCAATTGCTACTCAGGCCCATGTGTGCATCAGGTTTTAAACACAGGGTTCCCCAAGTATTTTTTTCCTAGGTTGGCTTTGAAGCTTACCAGTTGCGCCGATTCGAAGCGAGTTTCAACCCTGTAGGGGAGATCCGCAAAAGCATGGCCCAAGAGTATGACCTTAAAGGGGTACTTCTACATGATTCAGTGCGTGCCTTTGAGATGGCGTAATTGGCCTCCCTCTCAGATGGGGCTGAAATGGGTGCGGTGCCTTCAAGAGTATTGTGATCTGCCACGTTTCCGGGTGCTGCTTTAGGCACACATATTCTCGCTGAGAGTGGTTGTGGATTCCCCTAACCGTCAGGGACATGCTACTTTCCCCAAAAGGACACGAAAGGCAGACAAAACATCAGAGGGGCACCGTCGAGAGGCTGAAGTGGTGCAAGAAGCGGGGGAAGTGGTGATGTTTGCAAGCAGGTCACTGAAAAGCAACGCACGAAAGGAGCCTATTTCCCGCACTGGGCACGCCATAAACTAGCTCGATTACTCTGAAAGGAAATCATAAGGAGACACAGGGTCCTTCGACACGAACTGGATGCATTTGGGCTAGCTGGCTGCTGTTCCGGCCAACTGGCGCCTAGAGCCGGATGGTTGATATGCAGTGAGAACCCAGCATTAGCACACTCCGGTGAACCAACTATAGCAGGGGTGTTTCCCCTTCTTTGGATTCCTCCGTTAAAAAAAAAAAGAACATAGCCCCCAAATCTGCCATTCTAGGCGTGCTACACACATGCGTCGGACTTTTTTGAGTCAGCCTTCCAGCCCAGAGATGGGCGTTGTGGGACTTGGGACAGCAATGCGCTGCTGAAGCTCAGCGTTCTTGAGCACGGTTTTGTATTTGTTCCTTCTTCACTGGCTCATCCTGATTGGGTGAGCGCTTGTCCCTGGACTTGCCAATTCCAATTCCAGTTGGGCTGGAGACTTGTCATGCATGTTTTCACGGCAATTCCGTGTCAACAGCACGGCAGGAGCACGGCAGGAGGACGTTTGTCTCTATTGGTGTTTCATATTTCAGGATTGACCAAATGTTGTGTTCTTGTGTCCCCAGATTTGGATAGATTTGGGCCAAGGTGACATCTCTGCTCTTCCCCGGTCCCTGCACGTTATTTTCGTACAAATCCGCTACCCGAATGGGCCGAAATTGAAGAGGGTACCTATATATCAAGGCGAAGCGTGGTTCGCACAAGTGCATTCCCCTTTGTGCGTGATCAGAAGCTCTGTGTTTATAATTCCATGGTTGGTATTTCAGTGCTTTCGCGACCGAGTTGCATGAGCGTATGTTTGTCCAGCACTTGTTCACTAACATAGACGTCCTGAAAAAATTGGGAACCCTTATTCTAAGCTCTCTACTGGACCTAGACAATTGCAAGTGATGTCCAAACTCATCCCCGGATTTGACCACAGTGCCCTTCGATTTCTGGCCTCCCTCAGTCTAGCCCGAATCATTCGGCCGCCCTTGAAAAAAACGCCGATCTTTCCGCCAAACCCAAAGCGCACCCAAGCAGGTTTTCCCAGAACATAGCGCGTGCCCTTTGAGACCCGAAGTGTTGGGCCAGTAATGAAGTGTTTGTTCGCGTTTTTTCGTCGCGGCTTATGGTAACGTGCTTCGGAGCAAGCTCGCGCCTTCACGTTCGGCGATGCTTAGTGTACAATGCCGCATGTAGCTTCTTGCCGAGTGAGTTTTGTTAGCGCTGCTGCCTGTTTTTCCGGCTGACGTTGCTAGGCTTGTTCTTGTTTGTGCTGTTGCCGAAGGATTGTTGGTATTTTGCTCGCTACTTGCACCGGTTGCCGCTGACGCCACCACTGACTTCATCAGCTGTTTCGAGTTGCTGCATGGCGCGAAGACCGCCGCTGGGCCCACAGGCTGTCACTTCCAGCGCTTCCACTTCTCACTCGTTGCAGGCTATCAATGATCCAGGCGCTTAGCTGCGTAGATCAATGAGTATCGGTGTGTATGTGAGCCGCGGTGAATATTCACCGTCGTTGTGTGGCCTCGGGAATCACATCGTGCATCCTGCTTGGGGTATGCAACTCCCACAAATCATGGAAAACCAAGGGTAGCACGGCATTTCAAGGTCCCTCAGACACCATTAGCAAAGCAAATGGAAAAACAACAGCAGCATTTTAACGGATTCGTTATTTTGTGCTTAAGAGACTGCCATGTCGGAATTTCAGCCCATAACACTCTTTTCTCCACATGAGGCAACCGTGCTGCGCAGCTGGACAGGCGCCTGCCGAAAACCACTGGTATGGGGGGGGGGGGGGGATGGGGGTATGCCAACTGAAAAGCGGTCCATCCGCCATTCTGGGAAGCTCCCATGTGTCGCAGTCATTTTCCCCTTTACTTGTTATAGGTAACCGGGATTCAAACAGGAGGAGGGTCATTCCTGCAGCGACTGTGGCTGCACTGAAGGCAATCCACAAGATCCTTCTGTTGCAGGGCTCCTGAAAAGATCTCCATTTTGCCCATCCATTTGAAACATGTTGTTTTTTCAACACCAAAATAAAGAAATGGAAACCACCATTTACAAGTTGCAATGCTCAGGTGTTGTTCATGCATCCGTATCCCTGTTGAAGGGGTCACGCCTTGGTCGGCCCCTTCTCGTGGATCCCCAGCCCTGTTTGGATTGGGATCGATCGGGACTCGGATTTGTCCTTGTTGTTGTTGCTGGTACCATTTGAAGCAGAATTGCAACGTTGGGGAAACCCAACTGGAGTGTGTCTTGTTGTTTTTGCTTGTGTTTGGTGGTTGTTACTGTGTTCGGGCTTGTTTTGCAGGGAATCCCAGTAAAAATGAGCAGCCAGATATCCCTTCCTCTCTCACACACCAAAGACGAGGGTTCCATTTGGAGACAAAGCCGTGCTCAGCATTGGTCTCTGAGTCCTCACCTTCAGCAGGTGAACCTCGCAGCCAATACATGGAACCTTGGGTCCCCTTCACGGGACAAGTACTGTATATTCCAGAACCCACTCCCTACATGGCAAGAAAAAGGTTGGAATGAGGAGGGCCTGGCGGGTCACACCTTCAGCAAGCCTCCAGGCGAGCAGAATTCCGGCAGTTCAGCGGATTCCAGTCTCTAGGTGAACGCCAAAACAGTTCCCTTCACACCGACCAAGATTGCCGGTGACTGGTTGGAAACGGAACCCGAGCCAAAAGTTCAAAAGGTAGATGGGTGTGTCTTTTTTAAAAGGGGGGCCCAAGAAAAAAACAGTGTGACCTGGTTTTTCTTAGGAGCCCAAAAGGAGTAGGCCTGAAAAAGAAGACATACCCAGATGCTCTCTCTTGGGTTGCTTTTGTCGAGGGATTTTCAGCCCGCCACCCCCAACAACCATTTGGGAAGATCCAACTTGGGCACCCAGATACTCCATTCATTTCCGGGCCTTGCAAATTCTGGCTGGGATGGGTTGAAAGACCACGACTCATAACCCTTAGTTGATTAGTAAGAGCGAAGTCCCATTTGAATGGGGGTCCTTCACTTTTGGGGCGAACCACCCGATATTCATGCGCCCGGTTGGTTTCAGGAAACACTGTTCAAGGCAGATTGAAGATTCATTTATTTGTGTCTTCCAACAGTTTGGGTTTGTAGCCAACAAAGGGCACCAAAGCCCTTCTCGGGCCCCTTCAAAACTGTCCTTTCATTCTTGGGTGTTGCAACAAACATCCCAACCTGCACAAGATACACTCTTGCAGAACATGGAACCCAAAACGCGAGTCATTTTGGAAGAGGCGTCTTCTTTTGGAGGACCCCTTTTCAGGGTTGTTCTTGGACACCATTTTACATTTTGCGTATGGTTTAGTGGTTGGATTTTCCAACCGCTCAACTGCTGAATTTTCTGAATGGTTGCTCCCCTTCCAAGGTCAACCAAGTTTGGGGTTCCATGTTTTTAGGGCCGCAAGCTACAGGTGCCATGAAGAAACCCACACCTTTCGTAGGCCTTATGAAGATGAGCCGGACGAGCCCGGGGCCAAGGGTCCAGCGGGTTTGGGCGACACCTGGGCCGAAAAAGCCTCCAAGACTAGGTTTCCCAGTAGTGGGAAGCATTTCGATGGGTTCAAACGTGGGGGTTTAAAATGGGCTCGCACCTTTTCGGATGCTTGAATCACCACTTTCGGTGAGACTTGGTTTACCAATTGTTTAGGGGTTGATTCCCCATTCTGTTCAACCATCGTTCTTTCCAAAAACCCGCCGTTTTCCCTGGGTTTGTGGAGGTTTTCTAGACAGATCGATCCCTGGAAAGAAGGGAATTGGAAGGTACCTCTAGAAATTGGAGCTACCAGCAGAACCTAAACCCTACAAATTTGCAGTGTTTTCATCTAAACACCGTGTCTTTCAGGAAAACACAGTGTTTTGGAAATCAGCCATTTCCAGGACTGGGCAATGTTCATGATTTCTCCCTATATTCTGCTGGCACCTCCACTCAAAGATGTATACAGACTCGCGCTTTTATCCTTCATTGGATGTGTCCTGCGTCTCGCCACGCACTATATGCAGCTCGGAGCGCCCTTTGCAAAACTCTTGCCACCACTTGTTGCGGAGACACTCGGCGAGCCAATCGACTACATTTTCCTACATAATCTTCATCCTGTTGAACAGCATGACAAAGCGGATTCAGTAGGTGAACTGTGTGAGAAGACATAGAATATAATTCCCAGAAGACGTGGCCGACGATGTGAATTTTCGGCATGAAAATCCAAAGGGCCCTACCCAAGTGATGCGCGCGCACTGCAAGGCGTTGATAAAGGCGTAGAAATTGCAAGCCGTCTGTGCCGATTTGGTGTGCAACCTGAGCAGGAATCCACACGTCAGATGCATACAAAGCTCGTATCGCGCCGCTGATTAGCGTAGAAGCTTCCAAGCACATACTCAGCATTTCCTGGACATCCGACTGGTGTCCAGGCGCACCAAAATCGCATCCTCGCGCCCACCACTCGAAGAAGTCCTGCATCAGAACTGTCAAGTGTCCTTTGCTCCAATTTCCGTTTGGATAAGAGTTGCGGTCTGGCCAGCAAATAGAGTCCTTCGTAATGGCGGTGATGACGGGAGGGCGCTTATGCTCATCGCAAAACTGGAAAAACCGCTGCGTAACCTGTCGGAAACGTAGGTCAACATTGCCTCCTTCCATACACTCAGACATAAGTGCAAGGCAGCCGCCCAAAAACGTTTTGCCCACTCCCAGGTGATATGCGTGCCACAGGTCAAACGCCCAAAAGCTTGGCGCTTTGCCCTGGTCATGCGGAAGGCGTAGCAGGTGTGGCGGGGTGTCAAACGGGTCCGAGGAAAATAACGTAGAAACCCAAGGGGGGTCACCGAAGGATCTGAAGTCCTCAAAAGGAACCCCCAACTGGCCAGCGCAGCATAAGTGGCAAATGCCACGAGGGACTGAGTTCTTTCCCAAAGGACGCTTTTCGACGTTTGCAAATGACCGGTTGAAGTTGCCAGATTTCGCCAGCCACATCCAGTCCCCGCAAACTTGCAAGCAAACCATGTAGTGCCGCTTCCCGTGCGAGTCATCGAGGCCGGTGTGCGTCATAAACAAAGCGTCTTCCGTCACAAAGTTCATGATATCGTCAAACGCCACCTCGTCGCGAACCATTTTTGGGAGAACCGCCGTCAGCATTCTCGATTTGTGCGTGTTGCCGACATAGTTCAGACGCATTGACAGGTACGGTTTGGTCTGCCTCAGTTGGTTGGCAGAGGCTGTGCCGTACCCTAAGTACGAGTGCCAAGCGACCACTAGGAACGCTGACCGTTTGCGTCCACGACCTTCGTCACCGTGCAAAAGCAGCGGCGCGCATCTACGCACATCCAAACGATTAGCGTCCACTAAAGTCCAGATACCGTGATGGGGTTTATAAAGTCTGTACCGCCTCCAGAACTCCTTGAGAATGTCTTCTGACCGTTGAGGATTTGGTTTTGTAAGCCCAACCAGCGTATGCCAATTATTGGTGTCCAAAAGAAACCGCGCCCAGTCTCGCAAGCGTAGTACTTGCAGGTCTCCCTGGTATCTTACCCCCACCTTTTTGGGCAAGACCACCAAAGGAATCGGCAGTGACAAGTGAAACCGCTCAGTCAGCCTTTGCACATCGCGCTCCGAGTGAGTTTCAGAGCAACGCGCTAACCTGCTAAGTCCACCAGATCTAGCCGCGGCCTCAGGGCCAATGTCAGAGACAACTCCGCGAGCTGTCCGTATAGCCGCGCGGCAGGTTGAGGCCTCAGCGCGGGAAAACAAACCTACCCAACCCTGCTAAGCGAGGATACTGCAGTGACAACAACCCGTGGCAGCACATCACGCAAATCAAGCGCTTAGAATTAGCATGTGTTGAAACTGTATGTGAAGCCTTTTCTCCGCGACGTTCCCAAATCATTGCCCCTTGTGAGCATGCCCAGCCCACACAAGACAGCGACTCTATGTGCGCAGCAACTATACACAAGCACTTTATGCGCCTGGCACAAAAAGCGTTGTTGTTTTCTATAAAGATCGAAGTTCAAAGGGTTTCTCATCACGATGAGGGCGGAAATTTGAAAGACCTGTACACAAAGTAGCACATGTAGATTCCTTCCTGAAAGTTGGTGACCGTGTCCCCGCCCAATCGAATATTTTTGCAGCCTGGCTTGCCTTAGGAGACAAGAAAGCTGCCCGCAGAGCCGCTGCTACACCGGCTCACTTGGGGCAACACACACACAAAAGAGACTTGACCACTCAAACCGCAAAGTTCCTTCCCAAAGGGGTGGTTTTGCATTGTTAAAAAACAATTAGCCAAGCCACACTGATACCGCCCAATCAAAGCTGCTTCCAGCATTGCAGGCCCATAAGGTTCGTGGGAAATGTAGAGGACGACCATGTTGGACCACTTGTCACGGGCATGTTTGTAACCGTACAAACCATTCCCCCATCGCCAAAAGGGATCATGGGTGAAACCAACCTTGAAAATCATTGGGTCGTGTTTTGCAAACAGCTTTTCTATTGCACGTGTCGCGTGTTGCAATACCACTCCAGCAACAGCATTTTTTTTTGGCAGACTGAAGCTGATTTCCTCGCTCGATGCCGCTTGGGAAACCATGGCCTTCAGGCTGGGATGGGAGAGCAGGTCGGGCGGTAAAAGGTGAGGCCAAGATAGACCAGCATCCCACAAGGGCACAGCTTTCTTGCCACCCTTTTCCGCACCGTTGGGCTTCATTTCCAACTTATGCCAAGGGAACGGGCCTTCCAACTCCTGAGATACCAAAGTCACAGGCAAGAAGGCAACAGAAAGAGTAAGCAATTGCACATAGGCAAACCAAGATTCAGAGCGGTGACAAGACAAAAGGTCAATCAGTTCTTCTTCAGCAGTTTCCTGGTGATCGCCAAACCCCATGGCGACAGCAAACAAAAAACGAGGACTGGCTATGTATGTTTTGCAGTGGCGCCTGACCCAATTTCTATAGTGGCCTTTCAAATGTTGAGAAGCGTGTTGTAGCCTGCAATCCTGTGATTTGGGCTAGACGTTGAACAAAGCCAGTGGCTGCAGTTCTGGAGGTGAGATGGTCAATTTTGCTTGCAGGCAAAGGCAGGCAGGCAAGCGAAGAGTTTCCCAAGGGCCCGGCTCCCTCACCAATGTCTTTGGCGATGGTTCGAAGAGCTGCCCCAGCACCTGGCACGCTGGCACTTGAGTTGAACCCAAATAGAAGGATGGCTTCAAATATGAGCATTAACTATACTTCAAGTTGTCTCTGCCATACAGCACGGGCTTTGTGTTCTCGAGATTTTGCCCCAACAGACTTGGCTATAGGAAAGCGTGTTGAACCAGAGCCCCCTTCAATGAAACCTGCTCCCTCTCACTTGTGAAACAAAGGCCACTATTCGAGAAATGTTTGTGCTTGACATCAAACCGGGGCTCCAGATTGCACGCACAAGACTGTATAATGCACCATTGTGCAAGGCATCAATGTTGCCTCCCCCAACGGCAATGCAGGTTCCGCTTCCAGCGCCCCGCATTAACCACATGAAACTTAAATCAGCTTTCCTTGTTCGCCGCTTTAGCCTTGGCCTTTCTGGCCCTTTTTGCGGGTGGCTGGTTCGCCCCATCCTGATTTTCAGGCCCACGTTGATCGTCCTTCTCCTTGCCATCCTTCTTCTCGTATTTCTTGGCAGACCTCCAAGGGGTATCAATTGCAATGTGCGAGGGGGAAGTTACATTCGAAAAATGCTTGTTACATTCGCGGACTCGTGCCTGGTTTTCAGCTCCACTGCACAGGCAGCACTGCACCTCTAGACATACAGGTGAGGGTTGTAGGCCGGGACTCTCTTAAATCAGTGAGAGCGTTTTGAAGTTGGGGCAAGGCACACATATGTCGCATCCTTCATGCGCTGATTGGCTTGAAGGACAAACCTAGGCTATAGATCGGGGTAGTTGTGCTTGCAACTGAAACATGTACCGCACTTGCACAGCTGCCACAACACAAGAATACGTGTTATATACCAAGCAACTCTTCGTTGAATCCACAAACTTCTCCCTTTGTCATAACCTCGTTGCATTTGTCAAACTCCGCGTCCAGCTTTTCGAGCTGCTGCTTCAAGGCAGTCACATGCCTTACAAGCTGGAAATCAGGACCCTCAGAAAAGGGTGACTTTATGGGTAGTAAGTTTCATAACAACCTTCATACTGGAAACCTGGCATCAACCCTTTAAGTGCTCTGCGAATCCATCAAAGAGCTACCGCTGTAGTGTTCTCGCAAGTCGCGGAGTAAGCTTCTGATTTTCCCAGACTTCTGGAGCATGGAGTCCAAAAACTTCTTCAGCGCTGTTTTCGTCTGGCAACAGTGTGTCGATATCTTTGTTACACTAATAGGCTTTTGGGCACAAAACCACTCATCCCCCTACCAACACCAAAAATATATGGATCACCCACCGGTCACCAGCCTCGTGTTGTTGGGCTTCGGCCGCTGCGGCCTTTTCGGTCACCGGGTTCGCCTTCTC